ACCCAGTAGTAGAATGGTCGTACTCCCAGAACCATGCTTTAAGAAGTGAGAAGGCGGATATCCTTACTAACCTTCATCTACCCGGGTTTGACTGTGGCTCAGCTGTCGCCCTCAATTATAAGAATCGAATTCATGCAATCATGGGTTGAAAGGGACGATCTTGGTGCTCCAGGTTGTTGGCACTGCAAACCAACCGCACGCCACTTTGTCTCGAGACTGTCAAGCGACATCAAGCAACTCTCAAGCCTGCGAAACGCAACCCGGTGATGTGGCGGACCCGTCTTTTCTTTTTGTTTGTTCGCCCATGATATATTCCGCGGAACGGGGTCAGTGCGGTCCATTGAGAGGTCTGGGACCTGCAGGTGCTGTACATCGTGTTGGTCGGTTCACGTTTTGACCAAAGTAGATGTAAACCCAGCGCTCCTTTTGGTTGGAAATCAACCACGCCTGGGAAATTGAACGGGAACGTTGACTTTGGTCATTCAAAAACTTGGGTCCACTCTTCCTGTCAGCCCATTTCCACACCGGTTAACACAGGTGATCCGAACGAAGTGGGGTCAGCCCTTTGGCAGGCGAGTGACGCACTTCGGGAACACTTTGCATGCGAATGAACTCGACATTTGTGGATCAGGGCGCGGGTCTCCCCGCTGGACCGATGTGGCAACGAGTCGCTGCTGGAATCATGTGGAATCTGATCCCCAGTTGCTCAGCGACCTTAGGAAAACCTGTTTTCGGGTTCATCCCATTTGATGAGGAGCGAACCAAAAGGGATTAGGAAAGACTGTCCGCGGAACTGGGGATCCATTCTAGGCTGGTTCAACGGTCAACCATTCCTGGAGCCAGGGTCTTCTCGGAGAGCGAAAGACGCCACACGTGTGAGCCAAGTTCAACACTGACTGTCATGGTTGCGGTAAATCACCCTTGCGACGCCAAAATAGTTCATTCCAGGACTTCTTTGTCACTTTGAACGGTTTCTGGTAACACAGCAAATGGCCCCAACGGCCTTTGTCCGAACCATGCATACTCTGACCTACATGAGTCGCCTAGTAACAGGAAAGACATCGGATACATCCCAACTTGCGACCCGTTGGAATGAGGCTCCGAGTGAAACCTCGCTCCAGGCCCATGGGCGTCGGATCCATGAGCCCTACATTCAGAGATTCCGAACCGGACGTCCAAAACCCGTTGACTGTGCCAACATGAAGGCTATTTGTCCTTACTAGAGCCCTCCGAGAAACCAACCTGACATGGCCAAGCGGGGTTTTGGGCGCAGTCTATTGGAGCTGTCAAACAAGGCAACCAAGCAAAGGGCATTGGCATTTCACATGATCAAAGACGATGCGTATCTGTGCTGCTCTTCACTTTCCATTTGGGATACTTATTTCTTTGATGATTGCCCGTTCGCGAACGTGGATTTCGGCGACGTTGGCCACTTGCCTGATAGGATGTATCTTCTTTGGTGTCTACAACTTTTCATTTGGATATGTGTATTTCTGTGACGTTTGCATGTGTTATTCTGAAATGTGCAATTGTCTGAAATTTGCCACTTTTCAACTGGGATGGGGATTTTGTCATGTTTGACACTTTCGTTGTGGAATACGTATTGCTGTGATGTCTGCAATGTGTATTTCTGTGATCTTTGCCGCTTTCCTTCTGGTCAAAGGACGTACTTAGGTACACCCATTGGATGAGCTTTAATGTGTGCAAACGCGTAGAAGCTGAAAAAGGCAGGAAAACGCGCGAACTGATAGAAGCGTGCAGAACACGTGGCCCTGAGCATGAATTCGGCGCAGGTGCGCAAACTTCCTGCCTCGGGCGCGACTCTGCGCAAGTACTTTGGGCGGGTCGACCGTGAAAAGCTTGTTGCTTTTCACGTTTTGCACTTTTGTGGCTCAAAGAAAAAATAGAGAGAGAGACAGAGAGAAAAGAGAAAAGAATAGAGACAGAGAGAGAGAGAGAGAGACAAACAGAGAGAGAGTGCGAGAGAGAGAGACACGGAGGGATGGCGGAAGCGAGAAAGAGTGAGGGAGGGAGACAGGGTGAGTGGGTGAGTGAGTGAGTGAGTGAGCGAGTGAGTGAAAGAGTGAATGAATGAGTGAATGAGTGAATGAGTAAGTGGGTGGGTAAGTGGGTGGGTAAGTGGGTGGGTAAGTGGGGGGGTAAGTGGGTGGGTGAGTGAGTGAGAGATAGCGAGAGCAGGAGAGAGAGAGAGGGAGATAGAGAAGGACAAAACGAAACCAAAATAAAAAGAGAAAGAGACAGAGAAGAAGAGAAAGCGAAGACAAAGAAAGAGAAAGCATAGGAGCATAGGGCAAAAACACAGATAAATCCAAAGAGAAAGCAAAGACAAAGAAAGATATAGCATATAATCAAAGAAACAGAACGCATAGAAACAAAGAACAAGTCATGACAAAGATAAATCCAAAGAGGAATATAAGAAACATGGCAAGCAAAGAAAGATAAAGCGAAGGAAGAGACAGCGACGAACAATAAAGATAAACAATATAAGCCCTATGAAGATAAGAAAAAAGAGAAAAGGCTAAAGATAAGGATACCAAGATACAATGAAAGAGCAAGAGGAAAAGGACGAGGCAAACAAAAACAACAAGAAAGAAAGTGAAGCATCAAAATCCAGATAACTAAGGGGCCAAATGTCCTCGAAAATTCTGCGTTGTATGCTTGAAACTTCTGCACCCCGGCTCTGCCGGACTTTACTGATATTAAGATTCCTGTACTGCTTGCCACTTCCCTTATGCAATGTATTCTCTGTGATGAGTATTTCTGTGATATGTGCAACACTCCTGCTGTACAGCGCTTCTTTTGTGATGCTTGCCACTTTCCTTCTGGAATGTATACTTCTGTGCCGATTATCCATTCGCCACTTTTCTTCGGGGATGTGTACTTCTGTGACATTTGCCACTTTCTTTCTGGGATGCGTATTTATGCAATGCTTGGATTATGTACCTTGCGGAATATGCATTTCTATAATGTGTGCCCGTTCGCCATTTTATCTTCTCGGATGATGCTTGCAAGTTATGATGTACTTATGTAAAGCTTTCATTTGTGCTTCTCAAATGTGTACTTCTATCATGTTTGCCCATTCGCGTCTTTCCTGCTGGGATGTGTATTTCCGCGATGCTTGACACTTTCCTTCTGGGACGCGCGTCTCCATTATGATCTTCTACTCCGCCCCTTGCACATGTCCGTGTTGCTTGACTTTTCCTCTGGCATGTGCATTTCCACGCTCCTACTAGGGTGTGTTTCCGTGAATCTGCTTTTCGTCTGGAATACGTGGGCAACACACAAGACTGCTCGCTTCCCTCAAAGCAATTTGGGGTTCCGCTTGTTTTTGTGGATAACTTGGGTCCCCGGCATACGCACAGTGTCTGTGTGGGCGGGAGGTGGGCTGGCTGCAGAGAGCGCAGGCCGTGTATCTGCGACTTAACTCAAGGTGAGTCAAAATAGCTGAATCTGTGAGATTCGGTTTACCGTTCAGGGTTGGTCAGGTTGTAGGAGTGATTGGGCGGCTTTGGGTGCGCTTCTTGTTGGTTTCAGGTACGCGCAAAGGTTGATGTAGGTCTGATTTTGGGTGGGTTTTGGCTTGCCAAACGGTCGGATAAAAAATTGGCTTGGGTCGGTTTAGGGGTTGATCTTGGTTCGATGCATCTGTGTATACGATTCATTGGTTTAGGTGAGTGTAGCGTGGCGTTAGACGAGAAACTACGTGTCGTTGGTCGGATGGGCGTGGGGAACGATTCAGATGGGCTTGGGGGGATTGGGGAGGGCTTCGGATAAGCTTGGGAACCTTTCGGCTTGCTTGCTTGCTTGCTTGCTGCTTGCTTGCAATGTGTGTCCTCCAACCTGAAACTGGAACAAATGGCAGAACGCAGTGCAAAAGCAGCAATCACATTGACTCAACATGTGTTGCCCATCCCTTTTCAAGAGTTGTTTGACAGAAACTCACTAAGTCACACCCAGGGCCAAACCCATCCCATGTCATCTCATGTCCGCATTGGCTTCAATTCGCAGAGAGACGTTCACCTGGGTGTGGTGTAAACTAACGCGGAACCTGAAGCCATTTCGGAGGAAGCTCCTTTTCAGGAGCCCTCTTTGGTTCCATACCTATTTGCAAAAAAATCCCCCGTGTTCACGGAGGGAACCCAAATGGGAACCAGCGCGGATCATGTGGATCGTGGGTCGCACTCGGACCGTGGGTCGCACTCGGACCCCTTGTGATCTGCACGCGATTGAACAGGGTGTCGCAAAGCAAACAAAGTTATTTGAAACATAGACTGGGTTTAGCGGGCTTGCATCGAATTTGGGGTACCCGAAAACATGGGCGACTTCTTTGTGGCTTTAATCCCATTTGGCAGCTCAGCAACTCCAAGAGGCCATACCCGCCCAAGGCGACCAACTCGACATATCCCAAAACGGCCACATATGGAGCAACTCACCGACTAACAAGACAGCCTATGGAGTCTGCCTTAGCCAAAGCCAGTGAACACCAATACCTTACACCCCGCCCCCCAGTTGTGGGTCTGCGTCTTTTCTCTTGGCAAGACCTGGCATGTGATGATTTTCCTTTGGAAGCCAACCTGAAAAGGGTGCCCTCAAGAGAACACCAAAACATAATCACCAAGACATGTGGCCATGGGTCGAAATCCAAATCGTACCCCCAGTGAACATCCCAATCCCCACTAAAATAGACTAAATGGGTGGTGCACCTACCCCAAGATGGGATCCCATTGGTTTTGACCCGCAGCTATGTCCCACCTAAGAAACTTGAGAGTTGGGGTGGACGAAAGCTAGCGGCACCCTGCTCACAGCAGCAAGCGGACAGGGCAAGACTCGAACCGCTCGCCCCCCCCCTCGGCCCCACCCAGCCCCATCCCCATCCCCCCCCGCCCCCCCCTAAACCCTGATTCAATCAGGCATCGTCAGAAGCTCAGCCGAACAAAGAAGCTAAAGCTTAGAGACCTCCCGCCAGCTGTCCTGAAACCTTAGCACCGACAAAGGGCGCTCAGAGCGCGCATCTGATGAAGAGCCTCCCGAGCCTGGTCTGCCAGGTGATCTGAAGTGTACCTGTCCAGCCACCCCCAAGAAAACCATCCAAGGAGAACCTGGTATCATGGGTTAACTTTCCGGCCTTTTGGGAACATAGATGGCACTGGCAAATGACAAGAAACAACCTGCAACCAGTGAAACCCATCTCTTCTCAACCAAACTGAACTGAAATTGGCACCTATGCTTTAGCTAGGTCCTCCAGATTTGAGAGCTTAGAATAAGTTGGTAGGGTTCACGTTTCCGGCCTTTTGACCTTACCTGCCGGCTTGATTTAAGTTTGCACATTTGGAGTATTGCTTCCTCTAAGCAAACGTCTCAAAATCACCAACTCTGGCGGCCTTGTGATGAACTGGTTGTGGGCATGGCGGATCACACTTTGGTATCACAGAACGTGGCAACCATTTTCCACAGCCAGGCTCACACCAGATACTTGTGAGAATACTTGTGAGAAGTCTTTGGAGCAATCCTGCACCGGGGGGGAGAGTTGGTTTCTTCCCAAAAGGGCTCCCCCCCCTCCTAACAGATTTCATCTTAATTGGCCAGGTTCCTCGAAATTGATGTCCAAATCCAATCCGTTTTCTTGTGGGGGGTGGGGAGTGTCAGGGCCCCACCTGGTCAGCAGGCCCATGAGGCCGGCAAAGGTCATAGTGCCCAAACGGTACTGCAGCCGTCGATTTGCGCCATCCGGAATGACTTCCGCCTCCGGCTCTAAAGCCTCAAGGCGTCCACTGAGCGAAACATGAGAATGTCTTTGTCCCAAAGAGACCATGGACAGCATATGGCTCATATGTACATAGACATGTACATGAACATCTGTTGCATGATACATCATCACCGACATGTTCTATTGGGAAAGACGGAATCAAAGGTGCTTTTCAAAGATGCTTATCCAGCAAGTGTGTGTGTGTGTGTGAATGAACACCCCTTTTTTCTTGTGGCATTGCGTCCCGCAAACAAGCTCTTAGAAGGAAACACACATGCCTTTCACTGTCAATCAGGGCATTCTGAATCTGCGCTCTCATTACTTTTGACTTGCTCGGATGGCCATCCAGAAAATTATCAAACCATTTCCGCCTATCAATGCTGCCAACACCTACCACAAACGATTGACATTGGGCTAGGTGAACAGACTTCCAAGTGAGGGCTCCACCCCGAATCAATAAACACGTTGTTTGCGCACAATGCACAAAAAGGCTACCAGTGTGTTCTTTACTCCTGGTTCTTACTGCAGCAGTTTGTCTTAGGGCTAGCAACATCCCAAAGATCGCCTGGACCGGGTTTCGCTGGAGCTTTCTGGGTTGGGTACTCTCTGAAACCCTGGGTCTAGCTTGCTGGGCATAACCCAAAAACGGATCTTGGGCTAACCCAACCCCCGTAAAGTTGTGGGAAAATAGGGGGGCACCTTTCTTTGGCAATCGGTTTATATAAGCCCCCTCCAAAAGAAACAGGAAAGGAGGCACCATAGGTCTGGGTTGACCTGCGGTGCACGTTTCAGTTTTCAGTCGCCTGCAGCAACTCCTTTGCGCGTGCCGCCGCTTCTGGGTGGAGCCTGTCCATTCGCTGGCGCAAGGCTGGCAGCACCACGGCGAGCACCGCTCCCACCTTGGCCCCCACAAAGTCGTGTGTTGAGAAAGGGATGGAGGGAGAGTGAGAGTCGTTCATTCTCTATCTCTCACATACACTCTCCTATCCATCTCTGAGACTCCACGCCGGAGCAAAGGGAAGGCAGGAGATTCCCAGCTTCCCTCCAATTGGTGGTTTGGATTGGTGGTTTGGTGGTCAAGGAGGGGGTTCCCATGTACCTTCTACAAGAAGCAGGGTTCAAACACCAGCTGAGAGGGAATTTATCCACACATCTTGGCGTTGATTCTGCTTAAGTTGCGGAATCCCGAAACGAAAACATGCCTGGAGTTTGCAAGGGACAGACTCTGTTCTGCTTCATAAGATGGAGCATCCCAACCAAAACCCAGGGGGCTTGTTTTGTTGAGAAGGTCTCAAACAGCTTGCTATTTGACGGTCTCTTAAAAGGAGACCTGGGCACCTCCCCTGATTCCTGCAGGAAAAAAGGAACGCTCAAGAAGTTTGATGCGAAGGTTGGGTCCTCGCGAACAAACACCAAAGGCAACAGGACGACAGAACATTCTGGTTCTGGCGCCCGATTTTTTTACGATATGAAAAGCAACAAAAACAAGCAGTAAAGTAGTCAAACTGCAAAAAAAGTGCCAGTGCACAACTGGGTCGCTCGCAGTCCCTCGAGGAAGTTGCGAGAGCGCTTGTCTAAGCTGACGCGGCTAACATCGTGGGGCAGGTGACAATATAAGCACTCCTAGGGGCACTGGGTTGTGAGGCCTTGCTTTGATCAACTAAAATAACTCAGCTTTTGCCCCTCCAACCAACAGTAACAATTGCGCTGACAGACTGCCTGAAAGTCAAAAAGATTGCCAACGAGATCCCCGTTGATGTTGAAGTTGAATGAAGCAAATTGGCAATCAGCAGTGGCCACCAGTGCGTAAGGATGCTCCCAAGCCTTCTTACCTTCGATGTGCTCCATGCTTAGACAATTAGATAAGAATCCACAGCACACAGACATCCCAAGTGCCTCAATGCACCTGGCAAAGAAATCCAACAGTAGGGGATCTTCGGTGTCAGGTGCAAAGTCTCTAACAGACATGTGTCCGGGACACCAGCACTGGAGTGGGGGCTCTCTGGATGTCTGTCCTCCGCTGCTGGGCACCCGTTCCGCGTAAGGTGCACGCAAGGACGGCAGCAAAGCTCCGGGTGGCCAAAACTGCCGACGCTCCTTGCGCCGAGGGCCGCGGCTCGCCACCACCTGCAGCCAGCTCCCAAGGCAGGTTTGGATTGGTAGGTTTCGCTGGTCTCCCATTCGTCCGCACGAAATCCAGGGGTCCCAACATGGTTCAAATCCAAACCACCAATCCAAACCACCAACTTGTTGCATTACGTGATGCAGTGAACTCAAAAAAAAAGGCCTGACGAATAAGAGGGAGGCCACGTCAAACCTAAGCCAACCAATACGGAAGCATGTGATCAAGGGGCTAAAGGTGGTTTAAACAAAGACGGCTTGATAGGTGGCGGGATCAAAGGAAATCATGACGTGCTGGGACGTGGCGACGTTTCCCTTCACATTGGAGGTACCAAACTGAGTGGCAATGAATGATGGGGTCTGAAAAAGTGAACCGCTGTTAGCTACTGCCCTAAACGGACGATTGCGTACGGGTAATACAGCTTCCCCCCAATTTGGTGTTTTAAATTGGTGGTTTGGTGGTTAGGTAGGTTCCCATTTACCCTCTACAAAAGCCAAGGGGTTCAAATCCAAATCCCCAAACCATCAATTCAAGCCACAAACCAGACAGGTTACCCGATGCTTAAATCACGGGAAGAGGACTTGCAAATGGCAGGTTTTAACCCCGAAAAGTGGTGTGTCTTGAAAGGGAGCACCGAAAAACCCATGTGTGCGTTTCTCTCGGTGCACCCGGTGCACCCGCAATAAAATGACAAACCTGTAATCTGGGAAGTCCACAACCATTTTCGACCACCTAAACAAGGACTCTCTTTCAGGGGAAAGCAGGTTCCGCCAACAATCCAAGTAAGTTAAAGAGGCGATCGGAAGGTTTGGGCTGGATCGGCCTCCACAAGGCATGTTGGGAGCACATTGTGAAATGGTCACAACACAGCCTTGACAAGACAAAAGGCGGACGCGTTCAAAGGTCAGCCGAAGAGATGCTTCGGAATCAACAAGCCAGTTGAAAGCCTTACCATGGAAAACCCGGTGTCCGACACGAAGCCGGGCATAAGTTGGTTCTTTTTTGGAAAAACATGTTGCATCCGAGAGGCAAACTTTCCACGTGTCTTGCCTCCTCTGGCTGCTCCCTCTCCTGACCCGGAGGCTCGCTGGAGGACCTTTTGGGACTTTCGGTGGACGGCTTCTCATCGATGAAGGTGAGGTGGTAGCGCAAATCCATGGCTGGATGTGGCAACGATGCCGCCCTCGTTGGGAAAAAACTGCTCGTGCAGAGATCTCTGAGCCCAAATGCAAAGAGGCAAATCAGAACTAAGGAACCCCCAAGTAGGTGATCATGGGACAGCGCGTCCTCCCCCGTGCACAAACGCACATGTTGTCTTCTGCTGCGCCCATTCCGCGTGTTGCTTTTTTGCCCCGTTCTGCCGTGCTTTCGAATTCCCTCACTTCGAATTCCCTTATAGTGTTCACATCTCGATTTTGTTTCACGGCCTCTCTCCCAACATTCCTTAAATTGGACCGCAGCCCTTTCCTGGCCTAAACCCAACCCCTCGCTTTTCCGGAAGGGCAAGAACTTTCTTGGGGGGGAGGGGTTCCGCCAAAAGGAGTTCACTGTTCAGAGCACCCCCGCCCCAGACCCAGAAACAAAGACATATACAACATTCATAAGATGCTACCGGAAGGGTATTTTAGCAAAAACAAATGGGGCAACCACGTCAAATGTTCAGAACGCCCGGGTTTGCGATGCGCCCCGATGCCCCGATGGCTGAGCGGCGGGCAGTTCGAAACGGGTCGCGCGATTGGCTTCCCGGAAGTCGCACTTCCGGACCCTCAGGGTCCTGGCGAAATGTACTCAATCCTCAAATCACAAGGATGCATATACTAATTAGCACCTGCAGATTCCTAGTCACGGTGAGGCTTAAAGATGACATCACATACCACTGCTGCAGACTTCTTTTCAAAATCTCAACAAGCAAAGCAACATCTGTAAACAGAAGCAGCTATCGTCGTAGGGGTGGCAAGTTTAGATGATAGTGAACTATGACACCAATGCGAATTACCGCCCATAACGCCAAACCATAACACTCCCTGCCAGGCGCCTCCTCTTCCAAGGTGGCCATGACCTGGCTCAAATGCACGGCGTGAGCTGGATGGAATAAAATCACTTCATCAATCTCGTCAATCCAGAATCCAAATTCTTGCACCACGTGTTCCATGCATGGGAAAAGAGCCCGATCGCGGTCTCACATTGACATGAACATGCGATGTATGCCATGGTCAAGCTGCACTCTGCGCACCAAGCGGTAACATGGCCCCTTGCCCTGGCAAAGTGCGCGCAGCACCCAGGCACCAAAGCACCAACTTTACACTTTGCAGTTGTTGCATGCTTTTGCCGTCGGGCATCTGGGGGACCCTTTGATCTGTCAGGTCGGCTTTGTGTTCAAAGCGTCTCTAAGGGTGTCCAACTGATCATGACACACAGCCATGCATGCTCAAAACACTTGAAGTCCTACTCGTCCTACAGCAGTGTTGCATCTTCCGCCCAACAAATGCACCGCGGGCAGTCAAAATATCACTTCCCAGGTTGATTCGTCACATAAAATCCAGAAACTGGAACAAACTTCAACTGGCATGACAGAGCAATGCTTGATCCTTTGGAACCATCAGACAACTCCGTAAAACCAGCATCTATAGAAGTGACACTCAACACTTTCCATGGCGACAAATTACTCCAAACACCCAAAAAAAGAACAGAACTGAATCTTACTTGCGGCCAAAGGACCTTGAAGCATGAATTCCTGGACCTTGTAGATTGGCACATCCAAACTTTCTGGTTGCCACCCAGATGGACTTCCCACAGAGTATGAAGGAATTTGGGGCGGCTTCGTAGCCCTGCTGTGTCTCCAAACGGCTCTCAGGTCCAAGGGCTGAGGATCGCAGTCACGCCTCGTTTTGACGTCCGACCGTGGGGGAAAAAACAAGAAACCGTGGGGAGGGAAACGCCTTCATCGCCTTGGTGCCTCAAAAAACCCATGGACATCCAGCCCAAGAGTCACCCGAGGGCGATCCTGCCTGTGAGAGAGAGCGCACCAGCACCCTTCCGGATTTTGAATCAAGGGTTCTCGGAGCATTTAGTTGGGGCGGAAAGAACATCGCCCCATGTAATGGATCCTAGGACCTGGAAACAAAAGCTGGGCCTTGTTGGCAAACTCGAGCAGAAGTCGGTCAAACAGGGGAAATACAAAGGGTAGTTTTTGATGATAGATCCTCTTCCTCGCAAGCCCGGGCAATCCAAGAGCGGTTGGATTCATGGATATCACTGCGTTTGCCTTTGCTTCATCTCCCTGAGCTCTGGCAACCGCATTTGACCCAAGCTCGCGAACATGGCTGCGGGAATTTAAAACACTTCTGTGAGAGTTACCACTGGGACAACGGCCTCCCTGTTTGACGAGCCTGGCGCTCAAAGAGAGCAGCGATTTCCTAGCACCCCCTAGTCCATAGACCCACTTTGAGCCAAAATTGGGCAAGTCGCGAGCGGGAGCCGGGGCGGCGTGTATTGGAACCAGGCAGGGACCAAAAAAAGGCATGTCGTCATGCGAAACACCGTCAACACCCGCTGTTCTGGACATAAAATTCGTGGCTGGACCTCATGTATTACAATGTATCAATGACAAAGCCTTCAGCAGATGCCAGGATTCTGAGATCGGTGCACATGCACAATCTCGTCGGCATCTACCCTCCCACCTACATGCAACCCATCTAGAGGGCATCCGGGAAGATGATTTGCCCCTAACCCTCCCTCTGTCAGGTTCTGTGTCCGGTAAGAATAAGCAAGACAGCCGCCCGTGGGCTTTGTCGGGCACGTGAGGGAAAGGGACCTATCAGCAGGCCCGTCATGATGTTCGGCGTGATGATCAGGTCCTGCCCCTGCAGTCGGAGAGCCGGGCTCGCCAAAACAATCCCTGCCCTTGCTTTCATGAATAAACCCATGAGTTTCGGTTGCTTTTGGCTTCACACACCAGCCCCAAGAAAGTACCGAGCCTAAAAAAAGGACGCATTCCACGTGGTTTGCTAGGGAACATGTACGGCTCAGGGCCCTTTTTCTGGAGGTGCAGCGCCCCCGTCCATATACTTTGCGGGTGGGGCTAGTCCTGACCTCCAAACCAGAAGCAACTCAAAACTACTTCAGCTGAGTGTGTGAATGAGGGCCCCCCCGAACGGCGGTTTCTCTTTGATTGTCTCTAAACCCCCCCTCAACTGGTGAGCCAAGAAACAAAGAATAGCCAGCTTCCCTTGACATCAAAAACAGCCACACCAAAAGGGCAAGCCGGACAAGAGAAACCTCTCCATGACGTGCAGAGCCGCCCACTCCACAAGCCTGCGTTCACCCTTCAAGGCCCTACAGGCCATCTCCAACAGCCTCGGGAGTTCGGGGCTGATTCCTACCTGCGCGGCTAAAAACACCGCGGCCAGGCAAATCTTGGTATTTATTGTTTTCACGGACGCGCAACATGGTGACTTTTTGTTGTTGGCCCTTAAAGACAAAGGGGGACCTGAAAAAAAGACACACCCTTAGAACCGACCACGCTAGGCGGGCCCTTCCGCTTCCACCGTGCCTCGTACTTGGATGCCTGCGCGGGTGCTTGGAAGCAATGGGAAACGCTCCAGGAGACTGTGCCGACTTCTTGGATGCCAGGGCTATGGGCTCGCTTCACATGCTGCAAGACCGCCCTCGCATATAATATGTCTACTATATAGATAATATGTCTATGTACACTGACAGCTCGCACAATGTTTCCGCAAAGAGTTGATAGTGTGGCTTGCCTTTACTTTTATTGTAGCTCTTCATCTTTGGGGTTCATAGGCCCCAACAACTTGCGACCGATGGGGTTGGTTGCAAGCTTGCCAGCACGGGAGGGCTTTAGCCCAAGGGGCGCCTTGCGAGTAAGATGAAGCTCTTCCACGACTGTCCCCAAACAAAACAAGGAGAACACATTCACCTAGCATAGGGGCATCAACCTCAGGGTGGGGGCGGGCCTGTTTGAGCTTCCGGTCAGCCATCCAAGCAGCGCAGAAAAGGTAGCGATGAGATGGATGAGAAGGCCAAAAGGGGAAATCTGTTTAGGAATCCCCTATCCTGTGGGACATTGCATGGGCCCGGTTTCGCTTGTTTTAACCTGAAATCAGTGAGCTCGGACTCGCTGGCGCCAAAGAATTCCACACGCTTTCGCTCATGTTTCCTTCCCACATTACCCCGAAAATGCCACTTCAACACAGCTTTCAACCCAACCGTGAGATAAACGCCGCCCAACAGGAAGGTGATCCACATCAATTGAGCCGAAGGCCTTCCCGACACATGGACCCCGTCTGAGAGTGGGGCCACACTTCGCTGCGCTTGCGCCATGGCCAAAAGCCAGGAGACCAAGGTGATCACCTGGCGATCTTTCATCTGAGCCATCCATCTAGGAACAACTTGGGTTCCAAAGCACCACCCCGTTGCCACCCAAAACCTTGCCCTGGTTGGCACATTCGACAATGGTAGCTTGGTGAGTGTGCCCAATTCATTCCCTTACAGCCAGTAGATGATAGTACATATATGTGTATATATATACATATTGGTGCATGGTGAGCATGGCTCATATCTACGAATTCCACGACTCAAAACCTAACAGAATAAGCCAGGCGGTATCTCCAACAGCGCCGGAACCCCCTGGAACCCTCCTTTTGAACCCTCACTGTCACTGCAAGCTGGCCAGAGCCTATCTGGGCCTATCAACCCCAAAGCTTCCAGCTGCTGGGTAAAACAAATTTGGTTTTTAGGTGAGCGTGCAATACAGGCAGATCATGTGAATGTCCGAACAAAAAGACTCGAGGGTACTCTGTGCAGCTGACAATAACATTGTTGATTTGTTTCAGAAAACCTTTTTGGGGTTGGCATTTAAGGAAACACAAGGACGTCCCAACATCATCAAACAACGGCAATCTCTATTTATAACAAACCCTAGCTCTTGCCGCCAAAACATCGCTAGGAAGTGACCCACCCAAAACGGAGATGGTAATACTGTAAGAGACTCATAAATGAGCCCCAGACGAAACTCTCTGCCTCGCTCTCTCTCTCTCTCTATCTCTATCTCTTTTGCCCAAAAGCACGTGGACAAATGTTGGCGGTCTTATGCCTTCGGACTGAGAGAATTGAGTGGGCACCCCATTTAGACTCCCAACCCTAAAGGGAACCCTCAAACAAAAATCCACCGGGAGGACTCCTAAAAGCCGAACGCCTGTCAACCACAGGGCCTGGGAAATGGCAATGCCACATTTCTGGCCCAAGAAAAGTAGACAATGCAAGGATTCGAAGGCCGATTCAGTTCGATTCGCACTCTCAAATGAGCAAAAGGTGGCTCTATGTTCGGGAAATATGGGAAAAAGCTGGGTTTCCCGAACGGTATCCCTTTCAAACCATGAAAAGAGTCCTCTGTGCCCACCCATGTCGACCTGGACGAATTGAATGGGGAACTTTCTGCTTCGCTCCCTCCATGCATCAATGTCGTTGTATTCATTCCGGCACTTCTTTCTTGCGCCCCGGTATGTCAAAACACTCCTCCCAACAACAAGTGATGAAAGACAAAAGCCAAGGCTGAAATCGCAAAGTTAAGATACGCATCCTTTGCGACCAAATCAACGCACCGATTCCAGTTAGATGGCAACAATGGTGCCGACAGTGGCATGCGAAAGCCAAAAAAAACACGCATTCAAGAGGCCTCAAAAAGGCAACACGATGCAACAAGGTCTCATGGACACTTGGCCAACTGAAGACTCATTTTGCATCTCGGCTCGCCGGGTCAGCTCGCTCGCGCCTTCAAACCCGTCATACTCGCAAGGCCTCCGGAGCAAAAGGCTCTTGGATGACCGGCCCCCTTAGTCGGTTGGCATTCAAAAACACACAGGTCCCAAAACTTGACTCCTGGCAAAAGCTCTCAAACTCTGTGTTTTATCAATATCTTGAGTCCCTTTGGACTAGAACCAGGAACTGACCCCCCCTTGCATTCCGACAGGGGTCGAAATCTGCTTTTTTTTGACAAATCTAATGTTCTTTGGACCAGTGCTCTTACCATGTCGCCTTCCTCGTGCCCGGGGCAGTAGAAGCCCTGCAAACCTTCAAGGGAGGCGCCGCTTTACTGTGATTGAATTGCAAGCCAAAATAGCCATCTCATCTTTCTATTGCTAAGTTCTGCATTCTTTTCAGGGATCCTTCTTTTGGAAATCACAGCCAGAACCCAAGTAAAAAGAGCTGGTCGTAGGGAATCATGATAGTCAAGGGACACCCAAAGCCTGAACCTCACGAAGTATCCCTGATCTCAGCCAACCGCGGCGATCTGAACAAGCTGTTGAGTGAGTCTTCCTCCCGAACCAGCAACACATGGATCTCACCTTCCGAGCAAAGAAAGGAACATATATATATATATACGTATATATAAATATGTATATATTTATATATGTCCACATGATCCAAGAGCATTTTGCAGATCCACCCAAGACTAAACACCACCTTGGGACTTTGGTCACTCCTTGACCGCTCTTGTCCGCTTTTTGATTTTTTCCGCGCGCGCTTCGCGCGTGCCTGGGCAATTGGGTCGGCCTGGGCAAAATGGCCTCTCTGGAGCCAAAAGCCCCAAATGCGGCGAGCTGAGATCATCGTGAGCTCGTTTCACCCCAGAACTTGCTGCGTTTTGGAGTGGGTCAAAATTAAACCTTTGGGGGAATGCAGGTTTTAGTCCTCGGTTCCATTTACCAGGGTTCCATTTTGGTACCTATTTTTGACCCACAGCCATCTCATGACATCTGACACATACTTCCAAGCCTGAGGACAGCTAGGTACCCGGCCGGCGGTGGGTAACTGAGGCAAAAGTACCCGCATCCGACAGGAATCATCCGAGTCCATACAGGCAAAGATCCAGTTTTGACCATGGGTGATCAGACTTTATGCCCAAACCCCCTGATTCTTGACATGGAAGGAACATGGGAGCGGTCCTCCTCGTTGACATTTCCTTTCAACAGATCCTTGCGCAAAGCGAAAAGCCAGCTACCGATGTACCAGTGCATGGGGCCAGAAGACGCTTATTAGCGTCAGAACTTGAGCTAGCCAAAGTCATCTTCCCATGGCTGGCTAATGTACAACTTCTCCCCTGGCAGAGCAAAGAAAGTTGTTCCTTGCATCCCCAAAGAAAATACAAAGGACCCAAAAGACAACAATAAAAAAGCTATAAGTACTGGTATCCTTGGTGGGCTAGGCAGAAGCAAGCAAGGGTGACGCTGGAGGGCTTCGTGGAGTACGGCCCCAACTGGCACTTGAGGAGAGAACCTCGGGGCCTCGGGGGGGGGGGGTCAGCTCCTATGGATCTTGGGAGTTTGGTCAGTCCAGAAACTCGGGTTGACGTTGGAAGGGGAGCAAAAATGTAAATTTTAGCAGTTAAGTGGTTGGATTTCAACCACTAAACCACAATAAGCAAAAATGTTTCCAATGTTTCCCAACAACAACCATGAGAAACTTGGGAACTTGGGATCCTTCTACCAAAATCCCAACTTGGGCATTTGGCGTTACCAATGGGCGAAAGGGCGGGGCTGGGCGCATGACCCGAGGTCTCTTTAGTGACCCGAGGCTTGCGCGTTGCTCATAAAAAGTGCCCGGTAGAACAACTTCACACGCACACCCAGACCATTGCCATATGGTCAGGACGTAACTCTGGGACTAGATGTACCTGAATCATACCCCACAGCCCCCTTCCAAGTGGGGCAGAAACTGCAGCTTTTGTAGGGGGACATCATCGACATGTGCCACTTTCGCGCTACGACTGCAGCACTTTTACTCGCAGTCGCATACTCCAATTCTCCGGCTCCTCATTTTGCGCGGAAGTCAGCCTGCCGAGGATGAGTCGGTGAGATCAGTCAGTACTTCGCTTGGCTGTGCCCGACAATTGGAACACGAGCCCTTCATTTGGTGCTCAGAAAGTAACACCAGCCCAAATCCAGTTGAAGATTCGGGGGACCCAGCCGAAGGCCAAAATGCGGCTTCCCTCTGCCTCTTCCTCTGTGGGCAATGAGTCAGAGTTCCATTTTGGACAACCCCACGGAGACTGAAATCCCAGCACCGTTTATTTCCCCCCGCCAAACAACAACGTCCAAAGCTTAGGCTACCTCGGAGCAAAGCAAAGAATGAAACCTCGCAACGTGTCGCGGCAGGCGGTCCCTTCATCAGAAAGCCAAATCACAAGCTGGCATGTATGCCAGGCAGCCGCTTATCCTCCCTCCAAGTATCCAAGTGTACAGGCTCCCTTGAGGAGCAAAGGTCTGCCCACACTCCTAACGAATCCGCGTGGCAACGGTCCTTTTTATCACTAGTGCATGGCCAAAGGCCCTTTAGGCGATGGCCCACCCATCGGGTGTCCATGAATTTCGAAAAACTGGGCGCCCCAGTCACCAACGAAACTCGGGGCTCCGTTTCAACACCATGGATGTCTTATTTGTTTAAGCCTGAGCAAACAAAAAAAAAGCAGCGAAAGAGTGAACCCCCAAACGGGATTCCACGGGTCAGCTGTCCTCCCACTGGAAATGGGAGATGCCCCCGACGACTTGTAGTCAGGTCCTCTTGGAGGAGCTGAATAAGAACGTGCCATGGTCCAAATCATACGGGTCCTCTAAGAGGAAGCCATGGTTGTCGAAATTCCTCAAGGTCCATGAAAACTCCTACCAACCTCAAGGCAAGCAGTCTTTTGATCATGGCACGCGTCCCTGAGACCTGCTTCTGGGTTGAGGCTTTTCTCCTCGGATCTCGTTTTGTAAGTCTCAGCCCATGTGCAAGGTCGACTCTAGGATCTAAGAGGGATTTCCACTGCCCAGATCACTACCTCCAAGGGAAAATGGATCACATGAACTGAACATGACGCTTGAACAGACGCTATACCCTGTCTCCCCTTGAGGGCAGCGATAAAGCCACTAAGTGATTGGCTACCCCAGCAGCGAAGCATCACTGCAAACACGCTGACGCTGCTCGCCTCGGGAAAGTCTCATGCCGCAGGGATCCCACACTATGCCCTGTGACCCACCCTTTTGGAGGTTGACCATAAGAACCATAGGTGTCCTTTTAGGGCAAATAGACGGCCCTGGATTTAATCAAACCCCCAAAAGTAAATTTGAGAGCCCTACTTTCAGGCAAACAAACTGGAAAGACAAGTTGACCACAATCCGACAACCTAAAGGGTCATTTCGGCCGATCCACATTGCATCCATGCGGGCCTGTGCATTACCCGGAAAGCTGAGTTTCCTTTTCAAACCATGGTGTCTCCCTTCCATTTCCTGCACCCACGGAGGAAAATATTGCCATTCTCCAGCTCAATCCGGTTAGAATGGGACGTTGTGACTTGAACCTGAGTTTTGTATCCTCGAAGCCAGGATGAGCTGCTTACGAGGATGCCAACACAAAAACAACCAAACCCGCCAAGAGAGGGCTTCTCTGTTGATCTGCACGTTTTGAGACAATGAAGCAACCCTCAAGATGTCACGCCCGCTGCTTTGGACTCCCTTGATTCCACAAGGGACGTCCAACTGCCCGCCTCAGTGGATAACCACGCGGCTCTGACCCTTCTCACCTTGTTTTTGGAGGGAAACCACAAGGAAGATCGCCATTTCGGACTCCCTGCCATTTTGTCTGCTCATGCTTGCTGTTTCCCGACTGAGCGGCGCTTCTCATGCGCCCAGCGTTGCCAGCCATGCGAGGATGGTCAGCAGAATGCCTGACACGAAGCCAACATCGCCCCGCCCCGCAAGGCAGCTCACAGCGACCAAAGGGACGCATCAGTCTGACCCAAAGAAACCTTGCATTACCCAGACCTCCAGCAAAACATGGAACCCGTTGTGTGATGTTAAAGGGAACCCCCCTAAGAAAGGAAAACTGGGCACCTCTGGATTTTAGTGGGAACCTCCAACAAGGGCGAAAAGGGGCACCTGGGTGTAATACCAAGTGCAGCCAGGGAACCACAGATGTAGAACCAGCCTCGGGCGCAGGGAGCGAAACGTCAACATGACTCCACGGATTCTCCCAGAGAATCACCGGTGCCACCTAACACGAATCTGTGAAAAAACAACTGATCATCCTCAGTTGGTCACACCTCCTTGCGGCAGTGGCCCTCTTACGAATCCTTGACTAAACTTCCCGGATCCAAAGTGAAGCGCCAGCCTCGTATGGCCGCAACTGGCTGTACCGAACATTCCCAATGGGAACTTGAAATCTGATGGCCACAAGTAGGGTGGCCAAAGGCCACCCGTTGCTTTGAACATCTTTAAACCACTGGTTATGATGATTCTTCCCTTGTAAAGGTGTTTAAACCATGTTTTGCCCCACCCAGTCCACAAGCGACATGAGATCTTTCACCCAGTTGGAAAGAAGTCCTGGCAACCCTTCAAAGTGCTCACTTAGGGATACCTCCAAGCGAAAGCCGAGAGGCACAAGGATTCCATTTAGCTACCCTTGGGACTCGAACGCAGGGCTTCCTCGGCTTGTCGCCATCTTGGATTCCTTTTGAATTCAGAACCAACCCCCCAAAAAAAACACAATCCACAGGACGATGGGCTTCCCATCTTTGCCCAAACGAGAGAGAGTTCCCACGGAGAAAACCGCTTTGTGTGACCCAAACCCTAGCCAAAAACCCTTCAAACACCACCCCACACCTGCCCACTACATGGCTCTGACTTTTAGAGTGGAAGAACTTCAGTGTAACCGCAGTCCATTCCCTGTCAATTTGCGGCGTTGTTGTCGGGTAGTGCAATGAATCGTGTTTCTTCAAGGGAGCTTGAGGAGACTTGGGTTGTCCCGCGTGTGCTTCGCAAGAACAGTAGAATTTGTACCACGAATATTGTCATTCACATGCCAAGAACACTCAAACCAGGGTTTTTCCTGGCGTGCTCTGCAACGGCGGAATCCGCCAGAGGTTCCAAAACGCCCCCCAGCGGGGCTAGTGGCCATCTAGATTGGGGGCTAAGCCCTGAACCGTGGGACTTTTGATCGATGGGTCAAGCATATTGAAATGACGTCCAAACTTCCGGGGTTCCCATTGAGAATTCCTTGAAGGTGCTTGGTGGGTCTCTCTCAAATTGGGAAAAGCCATCCATGTGAGTTCTTGACCCTCTTTTACGATGATTTCAAAGCGACCCGTTTTTCGGATGGTTTTCGCGCGCCCCTTTTTTATGTCAACGCGACCCGTTCTTGAGTTTCGCTTGAAATGCGCCCCCTGGCAATTTAAAGCAAAAGATGCCCTTTTTCGGCAGGCTAAGAGCGAAAGGACCCGTTTTCCTGGACAATTTATGGATGGTTAAACAAAAGGCGCCCCCCTTTTCTAGGTCAACACAAAATATGGCGGCCATTCAGGGTGGGGGGGGTGAGCCGGCTTTGGGGATTCCATGGGATTCCCGAAAGGAAACCACCAGCATTGTTTTCATTTCGGGGTCATGTCAATTCTCATCTTGCTTGTGCGACAGGCAGGGAATGTGGCAATGACCCCATTCCCTCAAAGGAAATCATGAGTGGATGGTTCATAGGGGCCATTCCAATTTCTCATTCCCTGCATCTCTCGCAGCAAGTCACTGCCTATCCACCATCCACTCGACGGAAGCGCCGAGGCGCGGAAGGCGAGGTCCAGCTGCACGGAGGGCGGATTCTCCCAGAAGGCCACGCGCATGGCCCTCGTCTGTTGCGTCCGTTTCGGGGGGGAGGCGCTGTTGGACGACGCGGGGGGGGGGGGGGGGGTGGCCGCCCCGCCCGGGCTTGGAAACCATGTGTGGAGGGGAAGCCGTCAAAGGAAAGGGGACTTCAAATTCTGGATGTCATGATGACACTGCAGAGTGAGAAGGCTTTGAAAGGGGTTCTGAGAAGTGCTTGAAGCACCCGTTCGAAGGTGGCTAGTGCGAGGCTTTCTACGGAACCCTAAGAAACTTCAAGGTGGATGTTCAAGCCGGTTTTCAGAATCCAGCTATTCGCAATCCAGCAACAAGGGCATGTTGTGCAGGTTTGGCTTCCAGCCCTGATTCTGATAAACAAGACAAGCAAGTCGATTAGGCTCACTTGAACTAATTGTGAGTGAAGTACAATGAGTCGCCAACCTCAAGAAGGGATCCCTAACCCTAGCGAAAGAAATTTTCCCTGGTGCAGTCAGACGCCCCCTTTAAAGGTAACTTATCCCAGAAAGTACAAGTAGACCTTTACAAGGCCACCAGTATGTTGACGCGAAACAAATACCACGCATGGTACAAACGTAGAAGCATTTGGGAATACAGAAATCGCTCATGCTACCTTTAAAGGAATAAGTATTAGTATACAACCCATCGTGAGACCTTGTCGGGATTGCTTCCTTTGATTACTCGTGTACAAGTAAAGACGTCGTCCCGGACAACACGATATGTTCTCAAAACGCGGATTGCTGTCTGCAACACCTTCTAAAAATGGCTTCAAAAGCAAAACAAACAAACAAGAGAAATCACTTGGGGTCTCGATAGTCGAAGCAAACGCACTGCCAAGGCCCCAAAAAGGATGGAGTTGCCAGTTTCGTTCTATTCCAAGGGCTTGCATTTTATCAGGTTTGACCGTCTGTCTCGAGGCTCCGCCCGCTAGCAGCTTATAAACCTCTCAGGGTCTTTTCCCAACATCCGGGATGTCAAAAAAAAAAAAAAACGCAACATAATACTGGCTCAGGTGCGCGCATCTGCCCCCCCATCGCCAAATAAATCACTTAGACCACCTGGGGTAACAATCTGGCCATCGCCTCGGCCAGCTTTCAACCTTTGGTTCAAAGGGCCCAAAATGTGGTCGTTGAAACTCTTACACCAACGATCCTGCCAAGATACATCAATATCTCCATATTGCTTCAATTCACAACACGGAAATACGCCATCCCCAAGTAAGAATGGGGAACCCCCCCAAACAAATTGTGGTTCCCCTTTTGGTTTCCCTCAAAAAAACACACAAACACATATGCGGCGCTATTTTGCCTAGTATCTTGCCAGGCAGGTACTTGGCAATGTCGCTCATCATCTTCTCAAAGTGCGCCGGCTGCATCTCCGGCCTCGCAGAACATGCATTCCAGCGAGGCATGGTTTGCTCAGCTGTGGATTGAAGGAAGGGAGTTCTGCCTCTCTAAGCCTTCTTCATGCGGACTGTACACCCATCGGGTGAGGCCATCGGGTGAGGTTGCGATACTCCCCAAGTGGCAAGTAGAAGTGAGCACAAACATGTGTGGCATAGTCAAGGCTCAACCAATAAAGAGCCTTCTGCATTCTTGCATGGCTTTAGGTTGCAACCCCCCTGGCGAGATCGGTAAAACTCACCCAGAGCATGCCAGAACAGTGACAAACGGATGTCCAAGGACAACGGTTGTCTAACTTCCCTGCGAGCATTCAAAGAACCATCTCTGTTGACCCCAAGCAACCTGACCGACAAGTGACACCCGTTCCAGAGGTTCGAAGCAGTAATTCCTTCCAGAGGTTTTCATTCATTGTCAACTGGAAAAACAAGCCGGCCTTCCCAACGACGCAATGTTCCTTTGTGGCAAACCGACTCATGCCGGACAACGTCTCCTGGCCTTGGCCTATGAATGATGAATGTGTGACGGTGGAACATGGTTGATAGCAAAGCTTGATCCCCATCCCCATGTCTAACGCCTTCATGAGGAAGTTGACCAGGATGTCCCAGTAAAAGTAACCGCCCCTTAAATTCCGCAACCATCCTCCATCGTTATGCTTGACCCTTGCTCGGGCAAGCAGGACAAATATTACAAAGCATGAGCAAAGCCTGACCACACCTCCTGGGCCCCCAAACAGAATTACATATTGCCTATTGCAAGGCGAATCGGTTGGCACCAGTTCATTGAACTTGGCCCCTGGTCGAAGACAAGCAAAAGAGCAAATCTACGCTTGGCGTGTTGTGATGAGCCCCTGGTGAAGCAAACCAAACCGCCATCCCTGTCGGCGCATCAGACCCGCAGCTCGGGTTTCTTGGTGCAGCCGTTGGCGCCCTCCGCAACGTGGTTTTTCAATTTGGCTTGGGGTTCCGTGGTTGGAAACATATGTCTTCCCGCCAAGTTACAGGCCTTTCAGGTCCAACCGACAGCTAAGAAAGCGGCGATTTCTCCAGGGAACCCTTCCCTGTATTGAACGAGCAGGAGTGGAATGGGTGTTGTTGTGGATCAACAACACGGATTTTGGCCACAGAATGACGCGCAGGCCAGGCGCCCTTCGACATCGAGGAGAATGAAGAGCTCTTCGATCTGGTCTTTGGACCAGTACCTCAGTGAAAGCCCAAAGGAATCGACCCAGGTAAGGGACTCTAAAGACACCAACCAAAACTTTGAGCATTGGGGGGAATGGGCTCACTAGTCCTGCCTGTCTCGCCCTCAAAATCTCGGGGATCCCCAAACTTGAGAGCAAAACGGCGTCAGACATGCACCAACCGTAAATTGAGCAAGGCGAAGCTGATCTGGGTTAGCCTGAAATGATCCCCTAAAGTAAAACATGCGCTGCCCGCCGGCGGAATGTGCCTTGCAAGTTCCATAGGACGAGGCTGCCCATGCTCTACGAACATCTCGCGTGCATCATTTGCCAATTCAACCGAGGTGTCAACAAACACATCCTTCCAAGGACCAAGCTTGCACAAAGACAACCCTGCCCCCCACCCAATGAAAAACCCCTGGCCAACGCCGTGCAACACCCTGCCCCGCCCACAACACGTCGCAGTGGCCCTGGCACCCATCACCCAACGCGGCAGCGCCCAGAATGCCCAGCCCAACGCGACTGTCGGCTACCAACGCCCTGCCCCCTCTGGCACAAGACAAGAGGACGATAGGTATGACATATCCGGGTACTAGTTCTGGCCCGGAAAATGATGTGGGGCTTGACCTCTGGAATTATGTTTCAGAACAGGGATATGTTTAAGCAATATGATATCAACAGATGCCTCAGGGATGCCGTAGACAAATTTCTTCTCAAGTGCAAGGCATCCAGAGTCACAGGTTCATTGGACAACTCCGCCACCAGTGACTTTTGTAGCTATGAACGATACCTAAAAAGAAGAGAATGAATTGCTGGTGCCACAGGAATACTTTGCCACGTTCAAATTGACTCCATCTTGGTATGACAAGCAACACAGTGAGTGTGCGTCAGTGTGCGTGCTTTTGGAGGGTGCCCTCTTTCAGGTTGGTATACAGGTAAACCAATAACAAAACACACTACTTCTTGGGTCCTCCTATTTCGACACATTCCCAAGTGGCAACCACACACACACACATCTTTTACGCAACCACCGGGAAAAAAAGGCGACATCAATCCAGGACCCCCTAAACTGAGACACTTTCTAAAACCTGAGCCGCGTTTACGAACCATCGGCCAGCTCGCTATAGTATTTAGTCACGTGCAGACCACTGTTTGTTTTCCCTGGGTTTGCCTCGAACTTGGGGAACCTCCACAAATGGGCCCTTTGAACCAAACAAAGCGAGTCCTTCAAATCAGAACCGGGGCAGACGGATCCGCCTGAACACTTGACGGTCTGCTAAATGAAGGGAAACCCAAAAAGGCTAAAGTCGAGAACGGTCGAAGTCTGAGATGTTTGGTTTCCTTACTTCCCTTCAAAAGACCTCTTTGGGTCCCCAACAATCTCCCCCCAAAGACCGGACGGTTTCCTTCCCGGTTCCGACCCCTTCGCCCGGAACTGTGGCTGGGGCTGGCCCAGCTGGCGGAAGCCTAACTGGACCCGACGCCGATCCAATGGCTTGACTTCCTGGCGCCGGAACCGCGGGAATAAACCGGGGGAAGGATCACATACCCAGGTCCCTTGGGACCCCTTTTGCCCCCCAAAAGCCTTCTCATCAGGTACTTGGATTTTCTGGGATAGTGTCCTCTCAGGCTTGGTTTCTTCTTCTTGGGAGGAGTCATGTTCCTATTTGCTATCTGCATCTGGTTGTACTTTATGAGCAGTGTTGTTCCTTCATTCTGCTCGCTTGTTTCAAGTAGGCGCGATCAGATGGAAAACGACCAAGAGTCAGCCCAAAGCACAAACCTCACGCAACTGCAAATCCAGTGCTTGCAAAGCCAAAACCATCAAAATTCCAACCACCAAGAAAACAAACAGTAGATCAGCTGTCATTTTTCCTTTTAAAAAACACGGTCTTAAGGCAAAGTAATGGCAGCCAAATCGAGCATGGAACTGAAAGCTGTTCCCAAAAGCAGTTTGCAAGGCAAGGTCACTTGATTTTTTGCCAATTGCAATGGCCGAGCCAACTGTCTGCAACAATCCAAACTCATCTCATTTGAGGTACCCACTCCCAGGACCCTTCGGGGATCGAAGAGGTGTATGAGTTGTCCCCGGGGCAGCCGCGCAAAAAGTGTTCACCGTTTGCTGGTGAGGGGACCGTGGACTTTACACCATTGGTATGGTAGCCAAAAACTGGCTGCTTTTTTTTTGCAGCCTGCTAATGATGAACAGAACCAAATCACAAAAAACAGCGAACATCGAACACCAAGAACAGTGAAATGCATAAATTAACACATAGGCAAAAAAACACCTGGTAAGCCAATTTGTTGTCTAAGCTTGCTTGCGAAACATCAGACTTGTGATACAAACATGGCTCATTCACATGACTACTTTATCGACTTTATCACTTAGGGGATTCCCTTGGTATCAGAGAAGCGGCAACCTGCAATCCACTTTTCCAAAAACAACATCTAGGTCCTCCAGTAGAGAGGTTAGAATAAGGCTGCCCTTTCTTCTGTAGTCTATTTTAGTAGGGGAACCCTCCCAACCAAAAAAGGGTTAAGAAGGGCACTATTGGGAGAACTAGACACGCACACACACACGGTTTGTTGGACGGGGTCGCCCAGGCCCACTCCTTGCTGAAGACGTGGAAGACCTGCAGCATCTCCGGCGAAAGCTGATGCGGGCCTGCGAGTTTCGCATCGGGGGGACTATTTTCGGAGTAGGTGATTTTGTGAACCCCTTGAAACCAGGGGGGTCGTTTTGCCCTTTCCTGGGGAACATTGTTCTGAAGGATTCCTTTTGAAGGGGTTGCCCATTGTCTCACAAAAGGTGGCAAAAAGACCCCCCTGCTTCAAACACCCAATTTCAACCTGCGAACAAGGGAAATCTGCTCAGATTGTCAACTTAGCAAATTGGGGTGGCCTGTCCAGATAGCCATGCCTCGGCCGAGTACTTTGCCGGAAGTCCCATGCCCCCCTTCAGTGGAATTCCACAGCAAAATGGGCGACACGTCTTTTCGTAGTTCCGCCGCATTGCTCAAGAGTCCCCCTCCAAAAGAAGAACAAGTCCACCGCTGGGTTTGCGGAAGTCGCCATGTGGCTTACCTTTCCGCCAACTGGCGAAAAAAGATAAGAACAAACAAGAACCAAGAACCCAAGCGAAACCTTACCTTCAGAAGCAAAAAGAAAAGAAAAAAAAGAAAAAAAACGAAACGAAGTCACGGCCCATGAAGGCTCCTGAAGGGGCCTTCAAATCTCGCGGTCTCCCTACCCGTAAGCTTGGGACAAGCAAGCTGACCCATTGCCACGGAAATGATGAACCTATACAAGTGAAAGTGGATGGCTTCTTCAATCCAAAGGAAAACAAGGACTCTACCAACACACCTCATCTTCAGGTGTTGGAACAAGTGAAAGCTTGCCATGAAGATTCCCCCATGACACAAACTAAGCACAGGCGGTATCCCCAACAGCCCCGGATGTTCCTGGGACCGCATCGCCCCAAACCACCCCGGAGCCAATCTGGGCAGAGACGCCTTGGCTTTCAGCGATTGGGGAAAAAAGAGAAGAGGTGCAGTCTGCATCAACACCACTTGAGGTTCAGATGAATCTGCACAATACTAGTCGCAGGACTCCCTTCAAGGAGGTCATTTCGCCACGGAGAACTACCCCTGATCTGAGCAACTTAGCACACTTCACCAACTGGCAATCAGGAACCCTCAAGTAAAGAATCTTTCGCGTGGCTAAGCCCGTGCTACCCTCATTGCGATTTGCTCAGCCCCCCCTTCCATGGACCGTGGTTTTACTGGGGAGGGTGGGGGGTACCATAAGAATATATATATATATACGTATAGATGAAATAATTGAATCTATAACGGTTACTGCCGGTTTCATAGTCTCTCCTTCCCACCAGGCTGCCCGGAGCTGAGCCACCGGCTTTCGGCTGCGACGATCTGATGCGCCTGATCCTCCCAACCTGGCCCCAGCGGTCTCAAGCTGTGCATTTCTGACCTCCCTGTCCTTGAAATGTGTTTGTTTGCTTCTCCTCGTGTTTAGTACGTTGCGTTTTGTTGAGATATGCTTGAGCCATTCTTGTTTGCACTTGTCGGAATTAGGTGAAGGGCGTGCGAACTTCTTTCCAATGCTGATTTAGAGCGGAATCATGAGAAGGTCGTGACATTGAATGAATCCTCTGCGAAGGGGTATTGGCATTGGTCGAACATGCTGCTTGCCCTATTGGTATCGTAGAAGTGGTGCCAATCGTTCTGCTGTACCATGTTCCATAGCAGCACAGAACATGGCGGCAGTCCAACCGAAGAGGGGCCTTGAACTCAGCTTGGATCACTGGATTTCCTTTCTGGGTTCCATGGAACCCCAAGTCCTAAAACTGGAACGTTTTGGCACGCGAGAGACCATTTGGGATACAAAGCCCCCCCATTGACTGCAGGATATTTCAATAAACCAGGGCACAGGACGGTGGCCGCCCGGCAAACGATTGAGGCGCCTCTTTGGCCGTCGGGCCGGTTTCGCTTTCCGCGGATCCCCGCTTTCACCGGGCGCTCTTGAAATCGGGGCCCTGAAGAAAAAACACCACCCATTCCATGGGCTGTTTTGCCCCAGCCTCGATCATCCGAGAAGGACTCGGCCTGGCGTTTGTATCAATTTCCTTGACTGGTACACTGGCCAATTCTCAGCACAGGGAATGACGCCCCCCAACCACCCCTTGTGGTTACCTTGAAGGACATTTATTGTTGATTTGTTTTTGCAAACCAGCAGGTACAGGCTGGGCACATGGTGACTTTCATGGGTGGGGCTGTCTTTGGAAGACAATCTTGTAATCTTATGCCAGTTGCAACACTCGAGGAGGACACACTAAAATGCAGGTGCAAGTGTCTCAGCCTGGTGTCACGCCTCTCTCTGACCCAAAACACCCGAAGGTGGTAGGACTGTAGTGAACAGACGCTGGGCCAAGGCAGATATCCAGAAGCAAAGCAATTCACGCGAAAGGTTCCATCAGATTCCGAATGTAAACCTCCCAAGTTCGGATGTGCATCCATGTACCATGCCCGGAAACTGGGCGAACTTGGCCTGTCGAAAGGAATGGGCATACTTCGAATCGGAAGGAATACCTACCAAGACTCGTTTTGAGCGGTCGAAGATTTGACCAGAAGAATGGAAGTCTGCATAAGACGTGCCGCAATCCAGGGCCAGACTGAGACCCCCTACAAAAAAACACAAACACGGATGCTGATGGCTGAAAGGGAATATGGAGCACCTAGCGGCAAAACGCTCAACCGACGCACACCAAGTCTGGCAATACCTGGCAATAAACCTTAGCTTCCTGAAGATGACTGGGTTCATGTTGGTTCCCTTCGGAAACCAAACCATATCCAAAAGAACACCTCTTTTCGGCACGCGCTGCCAACACTTGGCTGCAGTTTCTTGTGCGATGAAGGCAACACACAGCTGAACGGGCTCCGTTTGGGATGGTCTTGGTCAGGGATCAGTTCACAAGATGAAAGCAAACTTTAAGATGTTGCCCAGCGCTTCAGTCTAGAAGGCAAGGACATAAAACATTGCTACAGACCGTATGCAACGTGTAGCATGACGTCAAACGTTGAGTCGATCCTTGGGTTTTTTCAAGATCGGTCAAATCGCCATGCCCAAATTCCCTCAGTCTCTTTTGCTTCCTGCAACATCGGCCCACTGAGCCGGACTGAGCCATGCTCTTCATATAGAGTGGCTTCCCTAAGGTTCCTGGACAGAGAGGGGGCTCCAAAAGGAGATGGGTCACAAAATGGATGTGTCTTCTCGGGGGCTTCGGCTTTCCTTTTGGTTATCCAATAGCAGAAGAAACCAAGGGGTACCCTCACCAAAAAACACACACCCAAACGGGTCGTTAGTTTGGAGGAGTGCATTCCAACTGACAAGAGGGAAATAGCCTGCCACCAACCTGCTTCCCACAACCTCAGCTTTTACCGGCCCAGCCAAGCATAATTATCTTCGATCCTGGTCCAATAAAATATAAGTACTCTCAACAAAGACATCAACAAGTAACATATGTATATATATGATACATATATGTGTATACGTATCTAATATGTCAAACAAACAACATAGAGTAACGCATCAAAACGCCGGCCGTGACGCGCTTCTGTTGCGCCTTGGCTCGTGGGCCTGGGGCCACCGGGGCCGCCGGGCCCTTTGTTCTGGAGGCAATGTGCTTGAAGGCCTCTCGCGCGTGGCGCGATTCCGGAGGACATGAAAAGGCAGCCAGTCAGGCGCCCCAAAGAGGGGACCTGGGAATGGTCCCCAAAAGGAACCCGAAAAAGCCGCTAATCCATAGTCACTAGCCCCTATTGGGATTGGGGCCGCCTATTGCGGGGCCTGCCGCAAACCTTGCGGAAATGACTTGTATGGTGAGCTAGATGCTATACGACCCAGGTTCCCATGGGTCGTGGCTTGGGAATAGAAGGAAGCCTAGAACCCAGGTCCTCAACAGGGCACTTACACGGCCACCATAGCGCCACCTACAACCCATGCAACGGTGAGATGATTTGACCACTCTTTGCCTCCGATCTCCCAAATTGCCATATCAACACCCGCACCTTCTCAAACCCCCCTGTTCGGTGCTGGAAGTCTGACGTCACACATCAAGCAAGTGCGCGTGCCAAATGCCTCTATCGAAATTGGGCAAATCTGAGCAACACGCACAATCCCCTGTTGGAAGGAATCTGGCAGCCCAAACTGATCCATCCCCTGGTTTCCTCGCACTTTTCCTCTACAAGTCAATAGCAGGCACCTGCACGCAACAGCAACTACGGCACATTATGTAACTCCAACAACGAGGCGCACTTGAGTTGCAGCCTCAACTTGCCAACGAATAAACACCCGAAATGCCATGGCTCCAAAGAAGCCAGGTCTATGCTGCAACATTACATAACGAAAGACCAAGGTGGGCAAACAAGCGGGAACTTTTGGGTTACAGGTGTCTTCGAAGGCTTCACCACACCCCCTCGCTTCCTGAGTTGATTGGCCAAAAAAAGTTCAAACTTTTTGTTTACCACCAAAATGGTCTTCCCAAAAAGTATAAAGTCCATGAACTCAGGGAGTGAGCCCCTGGGTCATACCCTGGGGAGGAGCGCTACAGCAAGAAAAATAAGAGGAAACATCAGCGCTACTGCATGGAAGGTGAAGTCGCGAAGTTCAAGGTGAAATCGCGAAATTGCATGGACGCAGTGAGGATGACTCCACAAAGTGCCAAACCCCTACCCCGCCGTTTCCTGCAGTAGATCCCCTAAGTCCTTTTGGAAGAATAGATGGTGGCAAATGATGAGAATCAAACACAAAGCAGATTGGGATCCCTCTATCTTCACCCAAACTGACAACTAAAGGACACAGGGGTATGTCTTCTTGAGGATAGCAGCTGTTTGGGGTTGTAAGGGAAGCCAGGGCCACCTAATGTCGAAGGATCCAAACACCGTCGGATATTGATCGGCCACTGACGCAAATCACCTCCCACAAGTCAACCACCTCTGACCGGCCAGAAATAGTTCAAAACTGAAGAACTCACCTTAAGTTTTAAGCTTGCCAACGCAATCACGTAAGCCTATGTTCATGTGAGGCTGTCTTTTTGGGCGGGTACCAGCTTTGTTTTTGGGTCTAAACCAAAAAGAAAACCACCATTTTTGGAGGGTTCCTTAAAAACGACGCACCCATGTCACGCCATTCCGTGCCTCGAACTGCCGGTCCCGATTCACTTCCATCTGCATGAGGCATGACACGAGGCCATACTCGAAGACCACCAGCATAGTAAACCTGAATTTTCTGAATCCACTCCGCCAGCTGAGCAGCGCAAACACGTTGGCCTTTGGCTCCACTAACATGGTTCTAAAGATCATAGGCTTTTCTATGACCCCAATTTGTCCAAGTAGTAGAAGAGTAAAGCCTACACTGGCCAATACGCTTCTCTGGGGAATGAGATGAGAAGGCCCAACGAGCACTTCCCTTTGTACACAAGGGGATACTTGGGAATGGTTCTTCAATGGCCGCCAAAGTTCTTTGCGTGCCGAAGGGGTCCGGAAAACACATCTGTATCAATATTCAAAATAATAATGTTTGTGGGAATGGCTCGGCCCCCTTCCACGCATCAGGGTGAGGGTGATTCTGATCTTCTAACCTTCCTTGATTGACATTCTTGTTGATCACCTTGTTGTCTATTGCTTCCCCGTCCACTCGGTTCTAAGCTATCATCCATTCTAATACATGATATATACCCCCGCCGAGGTTCATACGGTTCCGGAAATCCCTCTGGGCTTGTCGGGCTGAACCGGACCTGTCGGTCCTTTCCCGTGTGGACCTCTGGGGAATAGCATTGCAATAGGAAGTAAAAGGAATTTGCATTTCGTTTTTTGTTCCGCTGCAGAGGGCCTTCGCCAGCTTTTCCGGCTCGCTGTTTGTTGTGATTTCTGAAAGGAGCCAGCATGAGCAAAACTTCAACAGTATTGGCACTAGCTCTTGTATCTTAAACTTGGTGTGTTTGTTTTGGGATTTTGGGCCGGACAGGGACGTCTTTAATCACAGGGAATTCGAATTTAGGAGGTGCCCGGTCTTCTGGCCCAACCTTGGTGCCTTTAATGTAGTGTTCTCTGGCAGCCAGCTGGAAAAAATGTGCGTCTGCAATAAGATAGGGTTCATTCATCATGTGCCGACATTACTTTGGAGACAGGCGGTTAGATTGGACACATGTAGTTCATGCAGGGGCTTGTTTTCGTGTAGGGTGGTCCTTTCGCAACAAATCAACAAGTCCTTGGAGGGCAAGTTTGGGTATCATGGAACGTGTCAGACCCACAAACGATTCTCGTTTCGTGCCCGACCTGAGAAGTGAGCCGTCACATCAGGGTTCCTTGTCTTGTTGTTCACCTAGGTCCTCCAGTAGAGAGGTTAAAATAAGGGTTCCCTTGTTTCCGCTGTCTTTTTTAGTAGGGGAACCCTCCCCCAAGAAAGGGTAAAAGGGCACTACTGGGGGACCTAATCTCCAGGCCAACAGTGTGCAGCATGATTGTGGAAAACCCGCCTGTGACAGCAACACTCGCCCGTCATGGACAAAACCCTGCACCAGTGGGGATGCATGAAAGCCGATGAAATTTAAGATATACCACCTGCAATTGGCATGACTGTCAATTTCAAGGGAGCCGGCGAGTATCAAATAGAAGGGCCAAAAGCTCATATCCCCTGTGCCAGGCAGCCAATTCATGGCTGCCAAAAAGCTGGTAAGCCAGGTGAGATAGGCGAGCGGCGGCCTTGGCAGGCGAATTGGCAAGGCAGTGGTGTTAGGTAGGCAATCCAGAAACAAGTGAAGCATTCAAAGGACTTGGTTACAGGAACATCTACAGCAAATGGCTCCAACACACTGTAAATAAGCTGTTTGCCTCTACGCTTTCCTGTAACTCAACCCTTTGAAGCATGCCCTCTCTCACGCAACCACGGAAGCTGACAGGAGGGTTTGGGAAGTTTTCTCTTTGTGAACCCCCTGCGCACTTCCAGGAACAAATGAGCTTGCTTCAACCCCCTGACTCCGGGGCATCGAAGAAGAACACATGAGGAATGGCTTAGTTGCCGCAAACGGTGTGGATCGGGGCCATCCCCAGTAAATCGATGTGATCTCGCACACACCTCTAACAAAACATCTCCTCACCTTGACATGTTACTCGAGCTCTTTGGCTGGACACATCATTTTGCAACATGGTTGTGAAAAATGACCCTTAAGTGATACCAATGTAAGTTTGTGTCAAAACAGGGGCAGCCCCAAACTACTGAAATCATTCCAAGTGATAGGTCAAAGGAAAAGACCCCTTTCCGACTTCAGCCCCTAGAAACAGAACCCAACATCATCCCAGAAAAACAAGCACCCAGGATTCTTCCCCGGCCTCTGAATTTAGGAAAAAGACTCGCATCTCCCAAAATACCCTCATTTGGAACCGCAGAAACTGTTTGAACACCTTGGAGTGTTATGTCTTCGGAGGACTTTCTGTTGGGCCAAAACTTCGGCAAGGATTGGCATGTCCCCTTCTAGAATTCGAAACTTCTACAATAAGGCAAAAGATACGAATTGGATCCACAAGAAAAGGACCTACATCACTTCAACCTCGCTGAAAAGTACTTGACCAGACTTAGGCCCCCTGCAACACTCAACTTGTTTTGCAGGTTGAATGGGACAATGATGGAAAACCAAAACAGCAAGAAGTTTGAAACAAAAAACAAAACAAGCTGAGTCTGGCGAATAGGCAGCATCCCAAAAGCAAAAAAAAAATGGAACCAAGTTCCACGGACCAAGGTTGCGGCAGCTGGGAATTCACCTTGGGCGATGGCCCAGAGCCGAAGTTCCGCAGCCATGGTTGCAGCTTCCCATAGCTTCCCTTCAATGCATGATTAGACTTCGAACCAGTTATGAATGTATATTCTATTGTTTGCTTCCCTTTGAGTCACTGGTAAAATGTAAAATGTATCCTAAGTCTAACCCAGAATGGTTGGATGTAGTCTGGAACTTGGGGGGTAGCTTCCCATTTTCCCTCAAGAACCCCCGAGCCAATTAAGTAACGCTTACCGGAATTCTTGCGGATCAAGTCGCTGTTTTTGACACCCTACCCGTATGATTGTGATCAACTTTAAAAGTAGACACCCGCTGCGAATAGTGCGCTCATCATTGGCAAGGGGCAACATTCAATGCTTGAATTTTGTGCCGTGCTATTGCGCCGTTTTGAGCTTTATGCAGATAGGCGTTGTTTTTCGGCCAGACACCGTGAAAACAAGGAACAGAACAAAAAAGAAAAACACATACATCGCATGTGGTTTCAAGTGCATGCTGCATGCCCAAGGAGTTAAAATCTGAAACTGACATCTGGGCATTCCTTCCATCCGTGCCTCTTGTGACAAAATTGCTTCGTTAGACTCCCCCAAACAGCATAATATCACTTGACTATTGTCCGTGCATTGCAAACCTAAAGAACCAACATGAATCCAAGAAAACGGATCGCCAATGGCAAGTGCCAGCGTCAACTGCGAGCAACGAGGTGATGTGGGTGCATATATACTTTGAGGCACCCTTCTTCGGGTGGCAACCAGAGGAAACCACAAGGACATGCGAAACGGCCATTTTGGAGGTGGTCCATATCATTCCATATCCCCCTGAGGCGGACACGATAGCAACAGATTCGAGGGCCCATGGGCCATCCCGCCCAAACAAGATCCTCAAACTTCCAAAAGGCGAGGGGGTGGTATCCTTGTACCTGGGGTGGGTTGCTTTCAGCTGATGTTCCATTCTCGGATTGAGCTGTCACAAGTTGGACCTGTCCTCGTGAATCCTGGATTTAGGTTGCCAGGCTGAGCGTTTCCATTGGGAAAAAAGCCAGCCGCAACATCGCATATGAACACTTTGGCGGATGGCTTGGCGTCCTGTTGGACTCCACGAGATGAGAAACGCCCAACCCGGAACTGGTCGAGATCAGTGGCAGTGTTGCTGAGGTTCAGCATGATGAGCACAGGGATCACCGCAATGGTCACCCGCGCAGGTGCAACTGCCCGGTTGATGAACCTCATGGCCCAGGAACCGCGTCTGGCCAGCCTTTGGAACAGCTCATGGAAAGCAACGAGGCGGAAAATCCCTCGGGAAGAGCCAGAGTGCTATTGGGGCCATATGCAAGTGCTGGCTTCATGCTCCCGAAGGCCCCCTTTGTTGCGAGGCGTCGGTCTGGTCTCCAGACTACTTGCGCACTGAGGCTGGTGCAAGCCAGCCCAGGACACAGCGGCGAACCTCGGCTCATGACGGCTGTGGAGTTTGGGGCTGCTTCACGTAGGGAATCGATCGGCACCACTTGGTGAGGCACGTACCGAAACCGTTCAAGTCGATTCTTGCCCTCAGCTTCCCTCAAAAAGGGTGGTTTGCATTGGTGGTTTGGAGATTAGGCATGGCTTCCCAGGCATCCCCAACAAGAACCCCAGGAGTTCCAATCCCCGAACCATCAATCCACCCCACCAACTAATACATGCCTGATTCCCTGTTTTGTGATAATGTTTCTCGTTGAAATCTCGAAGCAGCTCTGCTAAGTGTGCCTTCAATATGTCGGTGCCTGCTCCCAGGGTTAAAGTCCTTCAAGCACCAACTAAAAACGAGGGTGCCTCTGAATGCGTGATAGCGATTGCTAAATAGGGATAGGGGAGCGTAAAACATACATGTTCCATGATGTTGCCAATGCCGACATTGGCCAGTACACTTAACCAGAAGATTTCTTTTCGGGGTGGGCATCTAAGTCATCTTCCCAACCCCTAGAGTTGCTTTCCAAGGCCCACTCAAAATGCACCAAACAACCCAAAGCAGCAAAACACCACGACCAGAGATGAAGCGCTGCCAAGCCACAGAACTGAAGTGCCTGGGCGATTCGATGCGACTTCTGCGCAAATGTCTTTCGTTTTCGAATGGTGTGTCCACCCACAGGAGACGTATACTCATGGACAGCCAAGTTATTCAACATATACTCGAAACAGTGAGTGGGGAGAACTCTCCTGCACAGCAACATGGATCCCCCCAAAGAGGGTCCGTTTTTCTGTCACGCTTCCTCCTAGACCTGAGCCCCCGTTTGTTCTGTATACAGAAAATTCCTGCTCGTGGATTTATTTCCGCTACTTTGGTCTCGTGGTTCGCTGCGACATGTCGCAACTGAATCGAACCGACTGAATCTAGGAGCAACGAAATAGAAATCCATCTGTCCTAGAATGATTGAACTACTTTCCCTCTTAGTCACAAAGTATCCATAGTGACGACTTCAATCGGAAGTCTGGACACGCGTCCTCTGGATTTTGCGGGCTCCCCCAGAAAAGCGTGCCTTCTCAAGGGAGGAGATGCCCGTTTCTTCGCACATGCGCTGGCTGGATTCATTTAGGCTGGAGCCTGGATTCAGGCATGCCTGTTGCACGTGCGGCAGAATTAGAGAAAGGATGCAGCTGCCAGCAGCAAAATGGCATCACACTGGCATCACCAGCACACAGGCATCATCAGCAGCCATGGGCGCGGATCGCATCACTTTCTTGGAGCTCACAACCTGGCTGATCTCCTTCTACTCGTGTTTGGCCATAGAATGCATGGGTTTGATCTACATGTAAAGTTTGGAGAACAACCTCCAAACATGGGAGTCAGGAAGCAACGTCTTCAAGGTGCGCTGCATTGAAGCCGGGGAAGCGCAAAGGCGGAAGTTTCAATCGCAAAGCTAACGTAGTCTGCTGCTCGATTCTCTTTCCTTCGCTCCTTCCTGCTGTGTCTGTTTCTTGCTCTGCTTCACTCTGACCTTTTCTTTCTCGCTCTCTGTAGCTCTTCATCTTTCTCTCCCCTCGTCTGTCGCTTTGCCCTTTTGTCTTTTTTTTTTTCTTTTTTGTTCTCTGCCTGTCATTCTTGTTGCTCCTCTTTTGCTCGTTCTCTTCTTTATCCTCTTTCGCTTTCTCTTGCTTTTTTCGGACGCTCTTTCTCTGTGGCTGCCTCTTTTCTTTTCTCTTCTCTTCATCTCTCTTTTGCTTTTCTGTTTCTGTTCCTCTTTCCTGTCCTCTCCCGCTTTCTGTTTTTCTTCCTCCGCCCCTTGCTCTTTCTTATGTTTCACTGCTTCTTTCTCTCTCATCTTTCTTTGTCTTCCTCCTTCTTTAGAAGTGTTTTCTTGGTTGTACTTTTTTGGGTTACCAAGTGTTTTTGGTCTCTCTCCATTCGTTCTGGTTTGTATTGTAGTCAGGGGGTTAGCCGTTGCTCGCCAAGCGAGCTAGCTTATTTAGCTAGCTACTTAGTTTGCCAGCTAGCTATTTCCCTAGCTTTGTCACGAAGTTGCTAGTCAGCAAGTTTTTGCCAGTGAGCCTGCTAGCTTTGTTAACTATTTAGGTCTTCGGCAAGCTGTTAAGTTAGCCGGCAAATTGGGTAGAAAACTGGCTAGTTAGCAGGTCAGCTAGTAGCTTGGCAAGCTAGTCAGGCTCGCCATGTAGGTAGGTGGCTTGTTTGACATGTAGCTAGGTAGTTGTCTTAGCTCAACTAGTCAACGAATAAGCTCGCAAGCTAGCTTGCTATCTAGCTACTGCGCTAGCTGGCTAGCGAGCCAGTTGCCAAGAAGCTGGTCAGCTATTTCAACTTGCACACTACCACAAATGCACAAATGCCGAAGAATACAAGGTGTTTAAGGTCGGCCCTGCGGAAGGAAGTCTAGAGCCGGCTCACTGTATGAGAGCTACCCAAGCGAAAAAAGTGCTAAACACATGGTTTGTTTTGGTCGACTTTTCGGTAAGTTGCTGAGGGGTCGAGCTTGCTGCGCGTGATTGTTGAGCGAGTTTGCGAATGTCGACCTCCTGAAAATCTGCACAGCGTTCTGTTTGCCAAATGGAACACGCAAACAGCATATGGGAGTTTGAGGGTGGACACCGCGAAAGTCCGCATATGTTGCAGTTGTGAAACATTGTGTGGGTTTGCAGAGAGAATATTTTTGCATTTTTGCATCCGCTCCCCACGCTCCTCTCTGCCGTGCGCGTAGCTGCGTCAGACACTTTGACCGAGGTGGTTTGCACATGTCCCGGGGAGCAGATTTCATGCACAGGGCAGTTTCTTTGCCTGGATTTTACTCCCCAGCTCTGGATGTTTTAGCTACTTCTCAGGCTTTTTCTTACCTACTTAAACAAATATCACGTGCAAGTGCGCGCATTCCCAGAAAGAGCTGACCTTACTTGATTCCAGCAAGATGGGACTTGTTGATGAGCATTTTTGTTCGGCCTTGCAGATGTGTGCTTTTGCTAGGGCCTGATCTTGGCGTCGTCTTTTTTGAAGAGTTCTTAGTTGCAGCAATACGCTTGCCAACAAACTTCTTTCTTCCCCTTTAGGTGCAGCCTTACTTACGCTGAATAGCTGGAACACATTGAGTGTGCGTGGTCATGGTGCTGCAGGGTTGTTGTGTTCGTTGCCTAGCAACCTTGCATCATGTTCCTCACAAGCTGTGTTTTTGTGGAGTATAATTGCGCACTAGCTTTTCAGCCGTTCTTGCTTGGGTGCCCCCTGAATTTGTCACCTTTCCTTAACACGTTTTAGTTGGATCCCAGCTATATGTTCAGGTTAAAGACCACAGACCAGAAACTGGTAGGAAAGGATACCGGAGGTGTTTGTTATTTGTTCCACCACGATGGGCTAGACGCTGGAAGGTGCGGCTCCCACTACAATATTCCATCCGCTAACCGAGCGATTTGAAGTGTTGATGCTTTCCTGGTGAAGCTTGCCCACGCGGCCCTAGTTGCGCAGAATTGTTCCCTGTTTGGTTCTTCAAGGGCAAAACAAGAAGAGAATAATGAGACTGCAGAACGTGTTCTGCGCAATTGAAGAGCCCCCTTCCGGTGCCTGATGCTTTTTGAAGAGTTCAATTCGGTGCTGCTAGCTTTCTCACAGGTCGCATGTTTTTGGCTAGCCGAATCCAAGTGGGGATAGTTTGACAACACACCCTGATGCTGTTGAGCCAGCTCGTTTCTTCAATAAAGACATAAAAGGGCTATAATTTCAAGCATTGCTGTCCTGTTGGGAAAAAGCACTGTTGTGTGCAAGCATTACTTTCTTTAGGTTTGGCGTGAACCAAAGCGGCCTGGGGTTCAGCAAGTGTGTGGGCGCCAGGCCAACACGGGTGCGCGGCCGTGACGGTTGTTCTTGCGATTTGCACACTACATCGCGTTGGAAACCCTATGGTTGTCTGTCCCCGAACCGGACTTCTTTGAGCCCCCTCGGCCAAACTAGGTGTCTCGTTTCTTGATGGCTTGTAGGACCAAACACTGGCACTGTGCCCTTTGGAGTTTGTGGTGAGCTCGCAACTATCAGTCAGCGCAAGCCCAAGCGTTGACCTGTTCTTGGACACTGTGCCGTGCTGACACATGCACAGGCAACACGTGAGTGATGGCTTCTGTATACGCTGAAACTTTTTGCTCCATTATTGGCAGCTGTTTGTGGCATCGGGGTCTGAATAAAGGTCGCTCTAGCATTGCGTTTTCTGGCCTGGCTTTGCCTAGCCTGCGTGAAGCATTTCTAACGACCAGTGAATGCAGTTTGAGCAGTTTGTCTGGCACTTGTATTGCCTGCTGTACGCTGTTTCTGCGCTGCGCTCAACATGTGTCTCACTTGGCTCCACGCATAGGGCGGCCGTGTGCGGCCGAGTGATGTTTGTGCTGACTTACTTGTCGTCCTGACATCTCACATGCCGGGAGACCCCGCAGCGACACGCGAGGGAACAACGGCTATGACAGCCGCCCTCGACAACTCGTTGGAGAATATGAAGGAGCAATATGTTTAGAACTTCGATCGCTTTCCAAAAATATAGACACATTTGGTCCGAAGAAGGCACGCTTAATATGCAGGGAGTGGTTTGCGCACATTGCGAGGAGCTGAATTCACGCACAGGGCAAAGTACTGCCTTTCGGCTGAGTTCCACTCCTTAGCTCTCGCTTTTCAGCTTATTCTTGGATTTTTGCTCGCAGTGCACCTACTACTAAAACCTTGCGTGGACGCGTACGCCTAACAGATTCCAGCGCTACGTCAACTCTTGGCAGGGCTCTAACTCGCTTTGGGTAGGGCGTGGCGCAAGACATGTTTCTTGCTAGTAGCGTCCCTAGTTGGAGTGCCGGTGTGCCAGGCTTCTAATCATGCTTTAAGCTCACGCTCGCACGCTGCCGCTTCTGCACTCTGCTTATTGGGGTTGACGTTGGGGGCGCGCTCCAAAAGCAAGACAAACATCCGCGACTGCTTTGCGTCCCGCTCGCATTCTTTAGTCTAAAGCCGCACAATGGTAAGTAATGGTGTGTTATGCTCTGCCGCGACTACACATAAGACATAGGGTCACGCCTGCAAGACCACTAACTAGGTAGTAGACCAGCGCGCAGAAACTAGCAGAAGAACAAGCAATTTGCTACAGCACGCGCGCGCACGCTATGGCTTGCTACACACATAGCGACCATCACGCGCACATGGCAACTGCGCCAGGTCATTTCAACAAGTTGATAGAGTGGAACTGGCACGCTGCGCTGTTGAACATTGATTTCTCAAAGGTATCGTCGCGCAAACAGGTATAGTAGTGTAAGCGGGCGGCGCTGTTCACACTCAGCTACCCTTTCGGTCAGCTTTTCTTTAGCAAAGCTTTTGGGGGATAGTCAAAGTACGGCACGGCCCCTTACCGTTTCCAGCATTTCGATAAAACGTCCACGGTGAAGCTCAACAATTTACTCTTGCCGCGCGTCAGGAGGAGATGGCTAAGAACATCCTCAAGAAAAAGAAGGGAAAAAAGAAGCGGGGCTCTAGTTCATCAGAACTACCCGAGCCAGCTGGAGAATCTGAGCTCATGGTGCAAGCAGGGCTGAAAAGCAAAGATATGAAGCTCAAGACGGCCCCTAGGTATGAAGACTTGACCCCAGCAACTCAGCCAGCAAAAAGGTGGCGGGGTTGGAAGTTTGAACAGGTGAATCAGGAACAGCCTTGGCTTCATGTTGACCTGAAGAGAGCTACAAACAAACATAGACATTTTGGCTTTTGCAGGGCCTCCATTCAGTGGGGGGGGGGCAGGAACTAGCATGGGGCCGGGCGCGCAGTAGAAAAATACTGTAGAAAAAAAAAGAGGCCTCGGGGGAATACCTGTAGGGGTGTCATCAGGAGTCGAGTTGGCCTGTGCGTCTTCTGGATGGCTTTGCGGCAACGTCTTGAACAAGCGTGGCAACCAAAATCTAAGGCGCAGCTCTGCTTCATCATAGCGGAGCCGCACCCTGCGATCCGGGGCATGACGGTCATGGATCTCAGCGGCCTCGGCGGAGAGCTTTGCGCTCTCAGGAACCAGGAGCTCCGCGACTTAAAAAAAGCTGGTGTGAAGAAGACCAAGAAAGGCAAACGCCTTCTCCAGACCCGGCTGCACGAGTTGTCCACGCAGATCGAGCGCTCTGCCATGTCACGCTGGAAGTCCAGAGTCCTTGCCGTGCTTGAGCAGCTTGGCAAGCGTGGATTTTTAGGGTCCTTTTTCTGAAGATCTTGAGGGTCATTTTCCTGGCCGGGTATGTCAATAGGGTGTCCATTTCCAAGAAACGCCAATGCATTCCAGGCTGTTGACCAAGAAGACCCGCAAGACCACCGTCCTGTCGTTTGGCACCCTGAATGCCCTCCGTCAGAGCATCCTCGCCAAGGTCAAGGAAACGGTGCGCGAGCCGGAGCTGCCTCGGAAGGTAGAGGAACTGATGTCGGCCAGCACCAAGGAGGCGAAGCAGGACTTGGATGCTCACATGCAGGATGTGGTGGACAAGCGCCGCCAGGAAGGCAAAAAGAAACCGGAGCTCACAGGCAAAAAGAAAAAAGCCAAGAAAGACTCCACGGACTCTTCTGAGAACTCGGACCCAGAAGACGGCTCGGACCTAGACTCTGACAACGCTGAGAGCGAGGGGGCACCTTCTATGCCTTCCACCGCAGCGCCCTCGAAGAGCACGAGGAAGCGTGGAGACAGCTCCAAGCTGTCTGTTGCTGCTAAGTCTGTGAGCGCCATCCCCGCGGATGACTTCGACCTCTTCAGCAACCCTCGCTTCTCGCCCAAGAGCTCCGAAAAGGTACACGGGTGGCAACCTTCTGAGCCTTTTAGCGCAGCCTTGCCGGAGGAGGCTAAGAACACCTCAGCCGCTGTGGACGCTTCCAAGGAGAACACCCCATGCCCTGTGTCTCTGGAGCTCCAGGAGATGCTCTCGTCGGTGACGCAGGAAAACTTCCAGCGCGAGGAGGCTCTGGTGTCGCTTAAAAATACTTCAAGAGCGAGGGCAGCAACGCACGGTGGTTTCAAATTTTGCCACCCTTCAATGGATGCATGATCGCCAGGCATCATGCGCGTTGCCTCGTTTAGAAACCCTGTCCGCTTTTACTTTTCAGCTTGCTGGTGGCCCTGGCTCAATAGTCTCTGAAAGTTCAAATCCAATTGACTCAGGGTACTCTCGAGGGACTTTCAGGGACAAACCAGGGACAAACCAGGGACCCGATTTCTTGGATTTCTTTGATCTTGGGGGCCCCGAGCACAGGGGCGAGCCAACATGTTTTGTTTCTTTTTCTTGGGGCTGGCGTAAAATGAAACCGAGTCAGCTTCTGTGTGCCTTTGCCTGTCAAGAAAGGGCCTGTTTTTTGGTTCTAAACATAACTTAGGCCTCAAGCACACCTTCGTAAAGTCCAAAACTTGGCACGCGGCAATAGACCACCCGTTCAAGGTAGGGTCAACTTTCTTATGCATAGGTTCGGTTGAGGGGCAAGGGTTTGCCCCTGTTAAGGCCAGCCAGAAGACGGCTGGCTTAAATTTGTGAGGAGAGTACGGATTACTGGTTTGTGGTTCACAACCCCAACCCCTGCTTTGGGTGGCCACCTTTTTCGGGCTTCGACCTGTTAGTTGAAACCCAGCAAACAAGGAGTTTTGGGTGAGGCAGCCCTGAAACGCTTGTTTTCCCGGAAGAGGTTGCTTCAACCCTGCAACCCTGCGCTGATGGGTTGACTCAGACTTTGTTTCCGCTCAACAAGGGTCAACCTACCACCAAAGAAACTAGCCCAACATGGCCGTGGGTTCAGAGGGCCAATATTTTTTCGAGGGTGGGGAGGTAGCGAGTAGTGGTAGGGTACGGGTTGGGGTACCCATCAATCAAGGCGATGGACATCCACGCATAACAAGCTTCTCATTGCGTCCTCAGGCCCATAATCCAAGAGTAACTTCCTCATGCTTTGCAGGTATCCTTCCCTCAGAAAACCAACACAGCACCCAGCGAAGCGATCCGGCTTATTGAACATGTCCAAGCCGTTCTTTGGAAGACATATGGGTCATTGGAAAAGCTTGTGCTTTGTGTGAAGTGACAGCCGCCTCCGAGCCCTATTGATGATGAAAGCTAGCTAGCTCACCATTACCCGGGGCTGCGTTTTCAAGGGAGCGACTGCTTAAATGGTTTCTTTTTCCCTGGTAAAACGTGTCTTTCTTTCCACATAGCCGGTTACAAGTGGAAGCACAATCTGTTGGCCATTTTTTCTTCCGGGGTTAAGACATACTATGTCTTGGCACATTTCTCCATGCAACCTCCTTGTGTGCAAAAAGCTTGCAAGGACATTGCTGGCTTCTATGAGCTCCTGGGGGCTTTGGGGTGCAAGACGCCCCACATGCTGCTCTCGTCGCTTGAGGTGTGGATGGAGTCAAACCCGAGTGGCAACCCAGCCAAGTTCCTGACCAAGGGCATCCTGGGCACCAGCATGTTCAACAAGATGCCGTTTTCATCAAAGATGGCATCTGCTAACACCATAAAGTCTGTTCTCGCCAACAAGGACCTGAAATGATGCGCTAACAGCTTAAACCGAGCATCCTGAAGTGCAAACGGTTGGCCCGACACTAGCAGCGAGCATCAGGGCTGCCATGGAAGAACGGACTTGTGGCCAGGAATCCTACCTCGGGATCTTGGAGGTCCTGGATCAGTGCAGCAGCCAGGTTGTGCCTGCAACCCCTCCGAAAGAGGCAGAGTCACCCTCAGATTAGACTAGGCACGCCAGGCCAGGATTGGAGGTTTCAGACCTCCGGGCGGACTCGCAGGTCGCACATCGCCAAAAAAACGGACTCGGCCGTTTTTGCGGGCCTTCTCCGGATTTGCGTGCTCCCCCAACCTCTGCGTGCTCGCTCGATTTTTTATTTTTTATTTTTTTTTATTTTTTTTTAAAAAAAAATGAAAAATTGAGAAGGCACTGTCTACTTGGGAAAAGCCTATGGCCAAAAATGAGGTACCCCGCAGTAAAAACGCACATCGGCTTTTCCCCGGCTGAACGCGCCTTCTCAATTTTTTCGTTTTTTTTGTTTTCGTGTTTTTTTTTCCGTTTTTTTTTTTTTTTTTTTTTTTTTTTTTTTTTTTTTTTTTTTTTTTTTTTTTTTTTTTTTTTTTTTTTTTTTTTTTTTTTTTTTTTTTTTTTTTTTTTTTTTTCGTTTTTTCCCGTTTTCTCGTTTCTTGTTTTTTTTCCTCTTTTGTTTTCCGCGTTTTACTCTCGCCGTTTTTAGTGGTTGGGGGCGGTCCGCTTCCCCCCCCAGTGGGCTCTAGGCTGGCGCTGGCCTGTTCGGGTTCGAGTCCCCTGTTTCTGGTTTCTTGGGGGTCCTAGTTGGAGCTTTGACCACAAAGAAAATCGCGTTCCATTTCCAGTCTCATGGCCCAGATTCAGATTGCTAGAAGGGAAAGAGTACTGAAAGTCTTTGTCAAACACAATTGCCTCTGTGTGCAGCTGTGCGCGGCGAAGTCCCAAACAGAAGGTAATGAATAGCGATTTTGGCTCGAGGTCCTAACACCTTTTTTGTTTACAGTCCTGTTCTAGCACATGGAGCAACGTTTTCAACCATCGCGGGAAATGTTGTTGTCTTGTAGTGTGGGAGCATTCATTCGGGGGGCAAGAATGATGGATACTGCGACCGCGCTGGTTCCCTACACGGCCAACACCAATGACCCGAGCAAACTTCAGCAGGAGGACGGTGTTATTACCTGTGAGCAGCACCAAAAGGAAATATGTTCTTGCGCGTGGAACTTGCGCACGAAACAAAGCTTAATAGGCAGGTTCTATTGCGAAGCAGTTCAACATGCGTCCGGACACCGTGCGTTGCGTTCTTCACCAGCTTGTTTCAAAACATTTTCTTTCTGCGCGGAGTGAACAAGATAGTGCGAGATCACCTTTAGAATTGAGGCTTTTACTTTGCCCTATCACTCCAGGAGCAGGCCTCGTTGCGAACCCACCTGCTGGCCCTCATGAAGGCCAAGCTTCACGATGAGTCCGGGTTCGCTTGCGCTCTTGCAGCGTTAAAACTTGCTGCCCGCACAAAGCGCCCTATGTCCTCACTCAATGGGCGGTGTGTGCAGCAGGCAGACTTGGCTGCCTGCCTCGAGGAGATTCGACCCCTGTGTCCTTTCCCGATCAGACCGCATGACGTGAAACCTTGTGAAGGGCAAAGCTTGTTTCAACAGCAAATGGCTGCGGTCATGAACGACAGAGGTGACCCTGAGTCATCCCGTCACAGCACTTGCTTTATCCGCCTGAATGCTAAGACGACTATGATGATGAGCAAGGCCTGCTTGAGAGGAACCCCTTGAGAAGCAACTTGCACGGTTAAAACATTGCTTGGGGTTGGCGCGGTTAGAACATTGTTTGGGGTTGCTCCTCAAACTCTGCATTTTCAACAGAATGGAACTAGTCAAGAAACATGTTTCCCCTATAGGTGAAGGAAACCACCAAGCACAGTTCAGATGGCTACGAGCACTTCTTTAGAGCTCTGGATGTTTGGCAGTGCTTGGGGGTGAACATCAAGTTCCACGCGTGGTATGGCACCAGCTGGGTGACCTCATGCGCCAATGGTCCATACCACTCAAACACATACTCCGCAAGAGCGGGTACAAGGGTGACGAGGAGTTTTTCAGCCGTCCAGGCTTGCCGCACGATGCGCTCTCTTCGCTGGGCATGTGGCTGGTGATAGGAACATTTGCCCAAGTTCGGGGGCTTGCTCTTTCCAGCCAACAACAAGTTCTCGGCCTAGTCCGAAGCCTGTGTGCCTTGCTGAACCTCTCTACACTTCCAATCCTGCCCAATGTGAACTTGGCTGTGCAGGAAGGCTTTGTGTGCATGAAGCAGTGGCTGCGGACACTGGACTCCTCTACAGTGAATAGCCTGAAGCAAAGGCCATCAAGTTTCAAATCTAGGGTTCGCCGCTGTCTGGTTACGGGCCCCAAAATGACGTTTTGATCTGGGATTGTATGGCACTTTCTTGACCTTGCAGGTGGGAAAACACGACAACATTGGCTTCCCTACGAAAAAAACTTCCACGGCCAGGTGCCAGTGGCAGACATGTTCTGGTTCGTTCTGCGGCTTCCTGCAGAAGAGTTGTTGGCGCAGGACATCGCCGCGGCCAGGGTCCAAAAGCGGTTGATGCACACACTGGCTCAGCAGCTCGAACTGGGCATGGCTGAGTGCAAAATCCCGCTGTTGTCCAAGCCACCGAGTGTTCATCAGGAAACACCGTGCCAGACTCCCTGGTCCTCTGGGGACCGCGCAGGCAACGCCCAGCTTGTGAAGCAAGAGCTGGCCAAGAGATTCCTGTCTCGTTCCGGCTTTGTCAGTGGCTCACACTCTGCTGCAAATGCAGACCGGCTCTCGGATGTGTCTATAAAACTGCCAGGTCTCAGCGACCGGAGCAACGGCGCTGTGGCGGCGAGCCAGCTGGCCACATCGTACTTTGCGCGCGCCAGCCTGTCCTTGCTGCAAAAGATGGCTTCCCAGACCTACAAGCACCTTGCGATCTATTACGACGCTAGCCACGTGTTCACCTACGAGGCACCTGTCCGCTTCGCGGTTGTTCGAGCTTGCTTACACGTAGCTCCATTCAAAGGGGGGCACGGTCTTGTGTGGTATTAGCACTAGCACATGCTGTAAGATCTGGCTAGCTCTTCTCACTTGTCGCCCTTGCAACTCATTGTTGGCTAAATGTACTTGAAGTTGGGTCGTGCTACCAAAACATGTTCTTGTTGATTCACAAGGTTTCTCATTGAAAGGGGGGTGCCTTACCAAGGAGTATGTCTGTGTTTTGTTGGTGGGATGCCGGATGGCCCGGTGTTCGTGCTTTGTGTCTCTGCCACTTCAGATGCATCGTGTTGCAGTCTCTCAAGCGCAGTCTCTCAAGTGCCGTGTAGTCTGTTCTTCGCTTCCTTCCTCGAACTAGAAAAGTATCGTGCAAAGTTGCGCAAAAGGAAAAGATCAGCTATGACATGTGTCCAGCTATGTTCTAACCATTGACATCGGTTGCGCTGAGGTCCTACAAATCCACATCTCCGTGGATGGAGCTGTGCTCTGCGCCCCTCTTTCTGTCATGCCCCAGCTGAAGGTGCCCGCAGAGACTTCCGTAGCTACCAACCTAGAGACGGCCGCCAAGCTTGAACCAGACCAGCCCCTGCACACACTTGTGCCCCACGGCTCTGGCCCCAAGGCCAAAGCCAAGAGCAAGGCGGCCGCGCAGCGTCTCTGCCGCGAAGAGAAAACCTCAAGCCGACAGACTCTTATGTCGTTGAACCACAGCCTTTTTGCGCTGGCCCGCATCCGGTTGTCGGATGCTAGCCCTGCATGCGTCCTGCGCCCGCCCAAGAAGAGCGAGAAGCGTTGCTACTTCGAGGAGGATGGCCGTAGGCTCCCGTTCCTGTGGGACTCCGACACGAAAGACGCAGAATGGCAGCACACGTCCTACCCAGCCTTCAGCAACCACATCCGCATCAGCACCTTGCAGGACCACGGGGATGTGACAGCCGCCTACCAGCTGGCGGACCACGGTGTCGCTATCATGATTCATCAAGACACCCAGCACAAGTTGCACCGTGAAGAATGCCTTTCACGGGCTGACGTGCCTGAGATCGACCTTTGCATCGAGCAGTGCATGCTAATCATGAAATACGATAAAGCGCCGTGGGCCACTTCTGCCTTTGGTCGTCGCATGCAAGAAGCCATGGCCCGCATTGATGAAATTCCGGCTGACCATGTGCTGGTGCAGATGGTTGCCACGGGTGTGATCCGGGACCACGGCATGGACCCTCGCAGCACTCTTGAGGATGTGAAGAACACGCTCAGGTTGTACGCGGTAAATGGGTATGGGCGCACGGGCGGAGACCACAAGCTGGGGCGGTGGTGTGACTTTGTGGACTCCTTTGGCAAGCTGAAGCGCATATGGCATTGTCGTCTGTTTATGTTCCTCTTCGCCTACATGCTCGAGGGCAAGAATCCCTGGGAGGCTGTCGCCGGGAGCAACGCTTCTGGCGAGGACGAGACCAGCATCAGCTGCCGTGTGCTTCGCGTAACTGGGCTGAACCAGCCACTCACAGATTCCAGTCCAGCACTCTGCCACAGAGGGCAAACAAACAGGAGACACTTAGATGCTGCTTCTGCTGCCTGCAGTCACAACACGTGTGCCAGCATTTTCGCGTCCCTGTCTCCGTGCTACCTGAGTTATCCTGGGGTTTTGTTTGTGCTAGGATCCGTGCCGTCAGTGGAGTCAACCAAACAACCAAGTAGACAATTCCTCACCAGCCAACTACCAACAAACCCTGCCAACCCAACCCGACCTGACCCCACCCAGCCCGACACCCGACCCAACCAAGCAACCAACCAGCCAGCCAACCAACCAACTAGCCAACAAACCAACCGACCAACCAATCAACCAACAAACAAACATGCCAGCACGGCAACCAATCAATTCAGCTTGCTGCCTAACGAACTAAACCAAAACAAGCTGCCAACTAACTGACTAGAAAACCTGCCGACGACTACCAGCCAGCCAGCCAGACCAGCCAGCCCGCCACCCGCTCAGCGCCCCAAGCCGGCCAGCCAAGCAGCCACCACTTTTCCAGCCAAACAGCCAACCAGCCTCCCACTCAAACAACAAACAAACTACCAACCCTGCTTGCGCGGTAGCAAGCCAGCCAGCCCGCCAGCCAGCCTGCCAGCCAGAGAAACAGCCAACCAAGCACAGTAGGCGGAAAGCCCGCTTCTCACACAAGAAAGAAAACTGAAGCTCCACTCTTTCATGTTTTTTTGCCTAGTTCAGGTCACAACAGAACGTTAGGCCACGCCACCCTAGCCGACATACCTCTAAAATGAAGTATTCTAGAAAACGTGCCCAGAAGGTTGTATTAATCTCCGACGATCAAACGCAGTGATTCCTTATCTTGGTTGGTTTGACTCGTCTTTGACCTGATCTGGAGCGATGCCGGACTGCGAAGCAAGGAGTGGGCATGTTGAAGCTCTGAGTGTCTGGTGAGGGGAACAACAAAACGTTGGAAACTGATTTGGGATCCTAGACCGACCCACGGTGGCTTGAAGAAATTTGGTCGTGGCCGCAGAGCCCGTAGTGCTCATTTGTTTTTCGAAGGGTCCAAGACTCTGAGAGAATATAAAATTGGCAACAACAGAAGACGATCATGAACATCCCCCTGTGCAATTGGTCTGAAAGTGTGATAGGGCCGTTGACTTCAACGCTGCGCTTGTCAGTGCGAAAAGGCGAAGTAAGGCTTTTCCGGGCTAAAGAGAACCCTGATGGCAGCAGTGCTGCCGAGGCACTTCGGTGGCCTGGAAGGCACGGAAAGGCGAGAGACAAATGTAGGCGCTGGTGGCTAGAGCCAAGGCAGATGGTCGCACCAGAACCTTGGACAAGTCTCCTGGTGGTTCTCACAGAATCCAAAGGTATGTAGCGCTGCACTGGCACAGCCTATGTCTGCGCACTTGGCAGAACGCACTGAGCTCACAGAACTTGCGTGAGCTCTGCTCTGGTTTGGCTGACGCAGAAGAGATATCCGCAGTGCTGAGCAGCCACTTCAAGTTCCTGACTGCCACGCTCCGTCGCTTCTTGGAGTTTGGCCTCCTTTACCGCCACTTCCCTTGGCGGTTCTTCTGCCTGCGCGCAGGTGGCACAAGACACAATGGCAGACATGAAGGCTGAGTGGCAGCTCCTCATGAAGTTGGAGGCTGTGCCTGGGGCGAGCGCAACATGGCCGCTGAAGAGTGTCCCCATTGTTCGTTGGCAAGTATACCGTGAGGTCATGACCTTTGCAGAAGAAAGACACTGGCAAGTCACCAAAGACTTGACAGACCTCATCTCTGCGTGGTGCGCGGACCCTTCGTCCACCCTGGGGTGCGAAGAAGTCTTTCGCCACTTGCGGTTGGCTGAGCGGAGGCACACAAGTTCCTCAATTTGCGTGCCGCAGATCCAGGCAGTGGCCATCAAAGGTCTGAACGAGCGCTACCAAAAGTTCGAAACCCAGCCTTTGGAGGCTGAGGCCATCAGCTCTGTCCCAGTGGGCTCAGTGATCAAGCCAGGCATTTGGTCAGCTGAGCGGGACAGCGCCAGTGACACAGGCATTTGCCGCTTCAACCAGCTTGCTCGCTCAACGGTGGTTTCTCCTCACTACCTGCAGCGCAGGAGTCTCAACATTTGGTCCACTCTCAAAACGCAAGGTGACCTTACTGACTCTTGGACGTCTGAACTGGTTCGTCCTGGACAGGCCGAAGAAACATGGGTGAAACATTGTTTTCTTGTTCGGTTACACGGGAAAAAGAAGACTTCTTCAACTCAAACCCTTTTGCCCGAAAGAGAATGGCACCCTTTTCCCTGGTGAGGTGATCACCGACGGCTCGGAAATCCACTTGGTGATTGACGCTCCGTATGTTCACCTGAAGGTGTGGCCCTTGCGCGCCATACAGATCCCTTCTGGCAACGGTCAGTGCGATGCAGCCGAGATTCCCACGAGCTCGTGGGATTTGAAGGCCTGACTTTATTACCCGACACATGCCGTTCAACAAACTCCTCTCCTCTGACCCCATAACTTGTTTGAAGAACATAAGGGGTATCCTTGGAGCTGAAGGGTGTTTGCGGGATTGCCCCAGGAAATGGTGGTCAGGAAGCCCAGCGACTGCCTCGTTATTGACACTGCTCCCGAAATGTTGGAGGAGCACGGCGAAGCTAAGCTTGTTTTGAAGCTTGGGGCGCGGCTGGCTTTGCCCAACTATGCCTTGGAAAACTACGCTAGCCGTTTCCTGACAACAAGTGGGAGTGACGCCACTGCAGCCCCTTTTTACGCGGAGAACCAATCAGAAGCAGGGTGGAGCAGGTTTGTTTCCGTTTGAGAACCACACCGTGGTATGGCAAGATGCACCTACTAAAGAAGCTAGTTGCGTTTTACCCAAAGTAGAGCGTTCAAATAACACGGACCCCTGTCCAAGTTGTTTCCCACCCAATTGAAACTCCCTTGAGGTCCAATCATGTTGTCAAGACTGTAACCGTTGTTGCTGTTTTGTATGGGGGGGCTGGAAAGAAACCGGAGGGCTACTATGTGTTGTAGTAAAAAGAGAAGAGAACCTGTCTGTCGAACCAAGAAAAGCCCTTCGATTTTGAAAGGCTTCCAATTGAAGCGCAAACATCTCGGCTACCCCAATGATCGTGGCTGAGGCCTCTCTGCCGACGCGCTCAAGAATCTGGCCAAGGCATGTGGCTGTGAGACCCGCGGTCACATGTCCAAGAGGCTTCGAGCATCCCTGCTGCTGAAGCATTTGAATTACCCGGACGCGCAAATCGAGGCCATCCTGAGCACCTTCACGGTGCAAAAAAAAAAAAGACTGCGGGAGAGGGCGAGAACGGACAGGACCACTCGGACCACTCCGACTCTGACCGAGAGCAATCGGAGATCATGGTGGACAGCAAGTGCGAGGCTGAGCTCCTCAACAAGTTGCTCCAGCAGATGGAGCCCAAAGACACAAAGGCAGCCACCGAAAATGAGGGGACCGAAGCCGCAGAGGGCACCAAGGACACAGAGCTCACCAAGGGCGCAGAGGACACCAAGGACGCAGAGGACACCAAGGACACGCAAATCGCGGAGCAGCCGCCTGTCAAGAAGCCTCGAACTGGCGACCTGCGGGCGCCATGGTCGGAAACCGACCGGTCCACTGAGTGCACCGTTGCCAGCACTCGCGTGCCTCGCACGTGCACTATTACGATCGGCAGGCCTGCGTCGGCCAGCCCATTTGTGCAAGGCATTTTGCCAACAGGCCACACGTGGATGGGCAAGAGCTCGATCTCTCGAAGCTTTCGCCCTGAGGGCGCTAGCTCCAGCAGCGGCAGTGCAACACGTTGCACGCGCAGCTTTGCATCTGCAAAAGCAGAAGTGGTAGCATGGCTTTGGTCGTGGAGCGACTCGAAAGCGACAAAGGGGTGAAAAAGAAGTCGCTTCATGTGAGACTTCGAGCGGGCTGGTTAGGCAAGCAATCATCAATTAAACTCATGTGTGGGGGCAGCGTCCTTTAGAACGGCTCCAAACATTGAGAAGGCATGGTCCCCTGGAGAAGCCTCGGGGATGGGGGTCCAGACCCTCGATTCAATATAGGGGCGCAATTTGAACTTGCATGCTCCCATGTCGCCCTGACTCCTCGCCCCTCACCCTTCGCCCGGTGCGCCGCTTGGGCCGGCACAGAAAACGAAGATCATGAAGGAGCTCGGTGTGCGAGACAGCTCCAGATACACCCAGACGTAGCTATAGCCTGAACTCGGCGGATAGAACTCGCTTCGTACAAAGACGCAGGGACCGGGTATGGGGGCAGATTTCCTGCCTGGCCAATCAATTGTGAATCTCGGCAGATATTCACCGAACTTGCACGTGGATAAGAGAAACATCCGGAAACTCTGTACCTGGAGTCTCCATGACGATTAAAAAATGGGGTTATTGCCGAAAATTAAGGGGTCATGGACCCATTCATTGAGGGTCATGGAGACTCTAGGTACTCCGTTTCAAATTCGGCTTGAGGGAAACCAACAGAAAGCGACCACTTCCGAAGGTCCGTGCTGTTTGGACACACCCACATGGATCTCGTGGGTCCCATGGGTTTGTCTTGTGAAAAAGCCCGCTTCAGGCCCCTTCAGCGCCATCAGAAATACAGAAGACAGAGACCCACACAGACAAACGCACCCACACACACACACACACATACACATATTTGGGCAAGTGGTTTTCTTTCAGGAAGCCGGAAAGTTCAGGAACCATCGCAATGGGGCTCCCGGGATCCCAAATAGACCTTCATGGGCTTTCCCTCATTCTCCACCTGCAACCCGTCGAGCTCGGTGGAATTTGCCCAGATCTCCCAGCGCAATGGCAGCCGGGCCTTTGCGATTCGCCCCGGCGCCAAACCACTCCGTAACCTTCTCATCAGATGCCTCGGATATCCAAGGCGCAACCTCATTGACTCCGTGCTTCTTAGAGAGTCTGTACACTGTAATTAACAGCGGTGGATCAGACATCCCGGTCAAAATCGGCTGACCTTTGGGTCAGGTCGCACCCAGTAGCGGTCCTTAATGAGATGTTCTTGATCAGGCATGCACAAATCAGCCAGATGGGGCAACATGGGCGTGGAAGCTTCTGCCATGCACCATGAATCGTCCCAGGCCGGTGGATGCGTTTCGAGACGTCTGGCAACGCAGTAGAACTGAACAACGCCTCATGCATCCCACGTGGCGCTCCACGCAATTTGGTCAACACTATGGACGCCAAAAAATCGCGCCAAAGCACGCGTCTGATGCGTCTTGATGGTGCTTGATGGATGCATCGTGGTCATCTTTGATGCGAACTAACATGTGATAGAAAATGTAACTTCATGGCGGGGTGGAGGGTGGGGAGAGGAGATGCTCGGCCAACTAAATGAAGCGTAGTGTAAATACCCCTTCTTGTGATACCACAGCGGACAATCCCCATGACTGTTGTGTCACTTGAACGAAAAGTCCACCTTGGTACAGAGCAAGCCGCTGAAAACTCACACGTAGATACCAATTTCGCCACGAGGAATCCAGAATGCCTAAGGTTGATGGGTCAACGCCTAGACCCTTAACTCACTTCCTGAGCGAATTGGCCAACAAAAGTCCAAATGTTCGTTACTGCTATGTTTTCTACAGTCTTCCCAAAAAGTGTGAGTTTCATGAACTTGGGAAGTGAGTTGAGACCTTCTTGGTACCAAAAGATCAGTGGGTTTTAGGACCCGCCGCTTTCCCGAACCGACTCAGGGCTTGTTTCCTGTTGGTTTCCTCCTGAAAACACTGACTTCCACCACTTTTTGCGACGCCAATTCCCTGTTTCATGGTTAAACTAAACCACCATCCAGCACCACCCAACTGCATTTCCCACGTCCGAAATCCCAAGTCCGAAAAGCAGTGGTTGGGGGATGCTGGGAGTTGTTGAGGGTACCCCGTTTTTTGTGGTTTTAAAGGAACACCAAAAGGAACACCGCCATGTTGGACGGCCCAAACCCCAAAAAAAGGCGCGCCCCTTTCAACGTCCTGTTGGTTTCCCTGAGGGGTCGGACCGACTCGGGCCGAACTTCCGAGCGGCGGATTTCAGCGCCCACTCCGAAGTGCCCTCATACCTCGGTGCAGGAACCCAGTTGGATGTGACCATCCCTGGGCATCAGATGCCATTTTTCACAATGGGTTAACATGGAACCTGATTGGGGAGTCCTGCAAACTGTAAAAGGGTCCGTCTGGTGGGTTCCATGGCAACGTGCAGGGTAGATAACCACACTGGTTTGCGGTTTGTCATCTAACTTGGGTCCATGCCCCTTTCTTGGGGGTTGAACCTATGGCTATGCTAGGTAAGCCTGAGATGTAAGAATCCCAGGCAAAAAAGGGCACGAAGTGGGTCGACCCAAAACCTGGTTTGGGATTCTCCCCAGGCTTCAGGGGTTCCAACAAATTGGGCTGGGCAATCCCAAGAACCGGACCCATATGATCGAACCTCTGGCTTCTTCCGAGGTTCGATCTCTTTGGATAGACCTATTTTCACAGCTCGTTTTACCCCCTATATACCTTGTGCAGAACTAGCAGAATGCGAACATACGGGGCCCGCAACATCATGGGCTACGTCGGTCGCAATTGCTACAACTTGATCTGTGGGCTGCTAATCCAATTGCAAAGTCAATGGACGCCAAGGGCAGCCCCATTTCTACCCAAACAAGATTTCACCGTCCTTTTGGGAACGCAGGAGCAACCCCTGGTTTGCAGGTCAAAACTCATCTCTTGGTCGGTTCCAACTCGCAAAACAAGTCACCAGAATCCCAAGATCTACTCAAATGTAACCAACAACACAGCTTTCCAAGAATTGACCAGAGCCCTTCTGGCTAGGCAAGGAATACTAGTGAACCCTTCTACGAATCAAGGCCCCTTTTCTGTGTAGACACTACATCATGCCTGGGGAAATCCTCTGATTCTCGTCCGGAATCCAAAGATCAACAGACTTCAAGCGCAAAAGGAGTTGGTCTTCTGGGCCAGTCGATCCCCAGCACGTCACGCGTTACTTGTGACTGGGCACCAACTGTTAGCAAGCTGCAACAGCTGGGGGGAGATGTCAAAAACGAAAACCACAGAGGCACAGCCATAAGGTTCGGCCCAAGGGGAAGGCACCGAAAAGGGGCAATCCCCCTCTTTGTCTGCGTGGAGTGTTGGGCTCTTGGGCTGGTTAGCTCCCCAGAAAAATTAAGTTTTACGCATGTTTGGCTCCTTGACTTTAGAGTCTAGGTTCTTGAGTAGAGAGGTTAGAATGAGGGTACCAACTTTTTCCCGTCGTCTAGTTTAGTGGGGGAGCCCTCCCAACCAAAAAAGGGGTGAGAAAGGGCCCCTAGCAGGGGGATCTAGAAGTCCATGGAAGGATTCATGTTGATACAGACTTCTATAACTTCAGCCATGGAAACCCGCCCGAACAAAAACCGTGGAGAGACTTCCATTTCTGATCCACAGTGCCCCTCTGGAAGCTTCACTGCCCCGTTGGTGAAGGGCTTCGTGTGCACCTCGGATCGAAATTCCAACACGGGGCGACTCAAATGGGCTGTCCGTTTTCTGATGCCCTGCTAGAACAGTTTCAGTTGGTCTAGGGGTACCTTTTTATTCTTTCCAGGGATCCTTCTTTCTAGAAAACCTTTTCGGGGGCTACCCTTCTTTGAGTGTTTCTTAAAATTGTAAATTGACCCCCCTTTGGGCGTATTTGAAGGGAGCCAAAAGGACAAGCATTTTCGGGGGCCGATTAACAGTTTGAGAAACCCATCTGACTTGGCGGTTCCCAGCCGTCCCCTTATTTCTTGTCGGGTTTCATGGGGTTTCCATTTAACCCACAAGTTGAACTAGTCCCTATTCTTTTCAACCATCGTTCCTTTCAAAAACCAGCCATTGAGGTGCAACCGGGTGGGTAGAACAAGCATCGGAACCGTTTCTTCTTGGGATTCCCACCAGACACGGGATTGAGAGGGGAGAGGGTGGAATCCACTGAGCAACTGGGTAACGCTGGCTGTTCAAAGTCGAATCTTCCCCGGGCCTGAAAGCTGACGCAAGGTCCTTGAAGAGGAAAATTGCTCCAACCTAGAACCTCCAGTCAGCCTCCATGGTAGGGTAGGGTCCAATCCCTTCACAGGTATGTCCGGTCACTGCATGAAAGTTGGAAGAATCTAGACTCATGCCTGTTTGTGGGTCATGGTCATTGTGACCGGTTCTCCAAGTGTGAACGCTTGCGCCAGTGGTCGACACTCCCCTATCAAGGGGCACCATGCCTAGTGACCCAAGGGTAGTTTGACCATGGCACATGTGGGTATGGGTCAAAATTAAACCACCAGGGAACCGCAGGTTTTGGTCCATGTGTACACATACTAGGGTTCCATTTGGGTTAACTATTTTTGGCTCACAGCCATGTCTGTGTTGGTTGCTTGGTTGCCAAGATGAGAGGCGGGCCAACCAAAACCCAGGTTGCTCCACAGACCCGGTCACAAGCGTCAGAAGAGGAAGGCAGAAACGTCTAGTTGCAGAAACAACATCGGGACAAAGGAAAAGCAACTCGGAACAACTGGAAGAGGACAAAAGCCAAGAAAAACATGGGAAAGGGTCAAATGTTGGGAAACAGGGAGCAAAAACCTGGTAGAACATCAAATGGGGCAAGACACACCTAATGTGCAACTTATGCAGCTCCCCTTTGCAACAGGGTCAAGGGAAACCACGGGGATACCAGGAAAACGCGATTTCAAGTGAGAAGCCCCTTATGCTCCTTGAGGGAGCTTGCGGGTTTGGCAAAGCCAAAGGCACTAGGAACACCGAATCCATATTTCCCCAGACATGGATTGGCCCACGAAAGTTCCAAAATGTGCTCCCCACCGGAACAGAATCTCCTGAACCTGGAAGGCGAGGAAAACGGGGGCCAAGAAATCCAATGGTTGTCTATCCCTCAAAGGGCAGTGAAACCCTGGTCCCAACAGGTACCCCAAATTCAACCGCTTAAATCCCCCCCACCTGTTTCCTCATTGTGTCGAAGACTCTTTGCCTGATCATGCAAAGAAGGATTCCTAGAATGGAGGGGCATGCAAAAAGAAGAAAAACATAAAAGGGCCCACCACAACACACAAACCCGAAACCCACAACTATGGAATTGTTCAAAACAAGTTGACTCCAAAATTATGGGTTTGTCTCTATTTAACCCACCCCCAAAAAACAAGGTGGTTTCATTTTGGCTCCGGAACCTCAAAAACCCGGTGTCCTGGAAACGCCCTTTGGGTGTGTCGTTTTTTGGGGGAACCTCCTGTTGGTTGGTCTAAAAGCAAAACCAACAGGACGCAAACCATTTTTGAAGACACACCCTTTCTGACTTCCTGAGTGAACTGGCCCTTGCGGTTGCCGCCAAAAAGGTCCAAGACAATAAAGTTGATTGAAGTCCATGAACTCAGGGAGTGAACAAAATCAGCCCCCTTTTGGCTGGTCTTAAAGGAAGCCAAAAGGAAAGACACACCCATTTCTGAGATCCTGAGTGCACTGCCCAAAAAAACACCAGACGCACTGTTGCGGGTCCAACCAGAAAGACACGCCTTTTGGTTCTTAAACGCCAGACGCCTTTGAGGGTCCAACCCTAAAGACGCGCCCATTTTTCAGCCGCCGGGGCATTGTCCAGGTCCCAGGAGTAGGATCCCATCTTCAGAAAGCAGCGCTGCGTGTCCAGCGGCAGCTTCGCGAACTGCATGGGGCAGCTCAGCGCGTGGTTGTATCCTACATCCGCTTGAGCGGTTTTCATTTGCGCTTGGAGGGGAGGCGGCCGCAAACATCGCGGCTCTCTTTTTGCGGTCCTCCCTTTAAAGAGGCAGAAAAAAGGGTAGCCTCCCAGAAACACACACAAACAAGCACAAACAAGCACAAACAAGCACACACGCGCGCAGGCACGCATGCAGGCACAAACAAACAAACAAACAAACAAACAAACAAACAAACAAACAAACAAACACGCACACACACACACACACACCCATTGAACGTAAGCTAGACTGGGTGCGTGTTTAAGAACCTCCCAACAAATTATGTTTTATGTTAAAGCAAGAACTTTGTTGTGTCAACTTGGACCCGTTGGTGGACACACATGACAGCATTCTGGTGGGGTTTACGTCCACCAACCGTTATCGAGGGTGTTCCGTGAAATTAATAGGGTGAGCTGATGTCCTTGTGGTGTCCCTTCATGCGAAAAAGGGACTTAAAAATGATGTCAACTCAAAAGGTATCCACAAATCTGGCATGCCGCAACATGTCAGCTCAGCGTGGAGTTGACCTCTAATATTAGGGGAATGGATATGTGTCAAAAACAGGGAAACATAGGGAAACGCTTCGTCTTTGCACTTATAATTGTGACAGACGCCCACAATGCCAGGCTGCCACTTGCTTTTTTGTTTTATAATGCAGGCGAAACAGCAGCGTCCCTCCCCCCCTTTAAAGGGGGAATGGGGATGGTTCCGCGGGCCTAACTCCCACGTGAAGGTCGTTCTGATAAATAAATTTGTCGGTAGGACACCAGAATATGTTCGGATTGTCTTACGCTCTTAAAAAGCATTGTGCACGTTACTAAGTCAGCCTTCTCAAGTAATTTTCTGCAACAGGTTAGAGGGCAACAAATACCAAGGCAATCATGAGTGTAAAAAGGCATGTGAGTTTCGCATGATTGTTTAAGTGACTCTTTTAGATTTAGCGTATTTGTCGCAAAACACTTTGGTACATTGTACTTAGGCTTTGGGATATTGCTGATATTGCGTCGAACTGTTTTGACAAGGCGCCCAGTTTGAGAGCATGTGTTCGCTCGTCTAGGACTTTCGCAAGCTGTTTCAGGGGCTTTAAACCAACCTCCGACAAAGTTCAACAGAAAGGACGCCCCTCGAACAAAAGTCTAACTGAAGGCGTCTGCCGTCACAGCTTGCTGTGCACATGTGCTATGGAAAAAGGTCTTTCACACCCAACAAGCACATAGTCCTATGTTGCCCAAGTAGGCATGTGTCGTAAAATCAGCATTTTTACCCCCTTCCCACTAGCAGGTTTGCCTCGGGTTTTCCTTCTCTCTGACCCTAGGCACAGCCTCACACCCAAATCGACAAGATTCTGCGGGATCTGTACATGGCGCCGTCCGGGTGAATGGTCAAGGAACCAGCGCCATACCACTCCTCCAAGGAGTTGTCCTATGGCGGTGACCCCAAGGCGTCCGCAAAAAGGGTCTTGTGTGTATCTTCACATGGGGGCCCCATTGGTTGCACGACCCGCAAATGGGTAGATGATCGGTGCATCTTGTTGTTCGCTTCTGGGTGCTCTTGAACTGAGTATGATGCCTCTCCGGCTGACTGGTTTCCGTTTGGTCCTTCAACCCGGATCCCAAAAGGCCAGCCTTTCTTTATGAAAGCAAACCCAACAGGTACGGCTAGGCTCATGCTGCATATCTACCGTTGGATGATGGATAAGGGTTCCGCTTCACTGGTTGCTTGCGCGAAATCGCGGTCGCCATGTCTAGAATTCCAAGCAGTGGCGCGAAGGGTTGTCCTTTCGGTGGAACAGTTCGGCATATTCCAAGAGGAGTTCTAGACTAAGAGGTCCCATCGGAGTTTCCAGTCAGGTCGCTAAAGGACGAGTCCCAACAGCCCAACTCAGCGATCCATGGAAGCAGGAACTGGGCTCCACAGATGGGCGTCATGACGCACGGCAATGGAAACAAACAACACATACTCTGCGAACGCAGGCCCACACCCAAACTTCTTCCAGTTGCTAAAGCTGCTAACGGTGCCACCAAAGGCACCGTATTTGATCAAACTAACACGGATAAATCAACCAACAGCGCACTCAACTCATGGATGCCCCCACTGCAAGTTTGCATGCATCTCTATAAACTCACCATGACAAAGCCACATCGGCAAGCACGCATCAAGACAGCCAAAACGCATTATCACCATTCCTCAAATATCTACTCCAACCAAGACACAAAACACAGGCACAACAAAAAGACGAAACAAGACATCAACACGCAACGACATCAACTTCGGCAAATTGATATGTTTTAGTTCTCACCGGGCGGCATAGTAGAGGTCCGGCTGCCAGATGGGCCAGGTGGTCGGCAGCATCAGCGTGATGGGCTCAGCGCATGGGCCTCTCCCAAATTCCAATGGGGACTCCTGGACTGACTTGAGTGGATTGGCCAGGAAAAGTCCAGGAACTTATTGTTTGCCACGGAAATGTTCAGACAACTTCAAAGTCGGCTTGCAAGTCGAAGTGCCTGCATGAAAGCTCGAGCTTTCCAGAATAGGAAGCTGGTTTCAAGGCCAAAGAGAGTCAAACAGGTGGCTCCTTCCGCCGTCCGACGTGGGCCCTACCATCGACTCACGGGCAGGGCACCGTGCTGTGGAAACAAACGCAACAAGTTTCTGCTGCATTGCCTGCAACAATAGCCACATCTTAAATGAGAGATCCCAAGCAAAGAAGCGACAACTGCCGGCCTGACCGAGCAAATCGTGGATCCGTCCAGGAAGCTCGAAAATACCTTGGGCTTGGGCGCAAGTGGGGGGAAACCGAAGCACCAATTTTTCTAGGGGCAACCCAAAACAACTTTGAGGTTCCCCCCGTATTTGGAGACAAACTTTGAGTTGCTTAACCAGCCACTCGGGTTCCAGCAGGCTGCGAATCCGGAAACGATGTGCACAACTCAAAACGAGACACTCTTTAAGTAAACGGGTACGTGTTCAAAACAGGAGACCGCCTCCCCCTCCTGTCAAACTGACACACACCCACCCACCCAGAAACACACACAGAGACACACACACACACAAGCGCAAGTATCTGCGCAACCCAACCGGGAAGAAAGTGGGCCGCTGAAACACATCATCTTCCTTATATCCACATTCTGGGAAACAGCTTGGTTGGAAGGCATCATCACTTTTGGGAACGGCATGGCCCGCGGTGGCATGTGGAAATTGAGTCAACCCCCCACCTCAGCTCCAGCCGAAGACTTCTGGAAACCGAAGTCAATTCCAGCTCGGATATTTTACGCCCGACCTCAAGGAAATCGTATTCGGAGGGCCCAATTAAAAAGGACTAGCCTGCAGGTTACTTGGACCTAGCTGCCTCACTAACTCAACCCATGTTCCCCTTCAAACGTAATGCTAAGCCCAACCTGTCAGGAAAACCTATCGAGGGCGACCCAGATTTTGGGGAAGGGTCCCAAAAATCAAAACCACCACAAGGGTTGGTCTCCAGAGAAACACTTCGGGGTTGCCCAGAAGGACACCAAACGGTGGGTCATGCGAGGAGCCCCTCGATCTGCAGCTGCTGGTTCTTTTGGTCCACCTGGCGCTGGACACCTCCACAAATGAAACCTCCTAGGTCCTCCAGTGGAGAGGTTTGAATAAGCGTACCAACTTTTTTCTGTGGTCTATTTTTGTAGGCCAACCAAAAAAGGGTTAAAAAGGGCACTACTGGGGGACCTAGCCTCTACCGTGGTCACAAAGGTTGTGGGTCGTACGTACTGTGGATGGTCACAAAATCCATTTCGCACGGGGATTCTGGCGGTAGAACCACAAAACGGCCAACTCGGGTTTGGCGTGCTGCTTCATGGAGGGACCTATAGAGTTCCAAAGAGGGATCCCAAACTTGCAACAGCACCGAGTTCAATAAGCTGATCACGCCTTGGCGAAAACAGGGGACCCAAGCTGGGGGTCAAAAGGTCGAATAGCTGGCGAAGAGGGGCTATCTTCAAACACACCCAACCCGGACCCGCGCAAACATGTTGACTCCGGTTGGGCTAACCCAAACAAAGATCAACAAAAAAGCATTCGTCCCTTGCACCTGTTCACTTTCCTGTGGGCCAGATGAGCAAAGGGACTGCACTATTGCCCGTGTGATGTAAGGGCCGCGTCAGTTGATTTCGAGCGATCCAAGGAATTCAACTTTGAGGGAATCCTTCCTGGGCCACTGTTTTGGGGGGTACCCTATTTTGACACATACCCAAATCTGATTTCAAGAGCTTTCCAGAAACCATCAATATCCATTGCGCAAAAACTGCTCGGAAGGGATCCATGGCTCAATGATCTGCATGAGCCGTTTTGGGCATCGCATCTCAGTCCACAAAAAAAAACACCGGAAGCGGTAGCCTCAAAAGCAACGCGCCTACATTGCGAATCTGGACAGAGTGTGTCAAAGGATACTTCCGATCACCTGGCGGGTTGGCCGCAGGCCTCTTGACATTTCTTCGGGACATCTTGAAAACAGGGGGGACTCCCATTTTGGGGGGGGAACCCTTGAGCCTAAGAAAACCTGGAAGAAAGGTCGCCCGTTTTCGTACTCCAACCAAAAGGCCAAAGAGAAAGCATGCTCCCCCCCCCTGCCCTAGGCGGGGCAAACTGATGGGGCCCCGGGCTGCTACGATGGCGGCAACGTAGTGCTGGACGTAGACGTCCACCGACAAGTTGTCGCTCCTGGACCCAAACTGGTCCTATAGCTATGGCATGTCATAGGATTTGCCTTGGGTTTCCCTGAATTACCAGCCCCCGCAAGAGGCCGGTAGTGTGGCAACTCCTGCGAACCTTGTACTCAAACACACTTGCACTCGCTATAAACTGGGCATCGAGGGTCAAGCCCTTTTGGCGTCACTGTTCAGCTGGCCAACTGGACAAGGGACATGGGTGTGTCTTTTTGAGGATAGCCTTTTTGGTCGGATCTGAGGAGAAAGCAAAAGGACACCCCGCCCACTTTGGGGGATCCCTCTAAACGACACACCCGAATGGGTCTGCAAACTGTCTCCCCATTCCAGTGGCGAGGGGCAGGTAGGGCCGCTCGAGGGCTGCGCCGTCGGCTGTGAAGTTGGCCAAGACCTGCTGGGTGCTGGGGCCTTGGTCGATCCGATTCGTCACTTTGGCGTTCGGAAAGGATGCTCATTTTTGGACGTTTTTGGACCCCCCCAAAAAAAATCGATTTTTGGACGCCAGGAACCTGGTTTCCCAGGTTTCGGATTTTGGGGGTTGCCGGGGGGTCCGGATTTTGGATTTTTGGGGGTCGCCGGGGGTCCGATTTTTGGGGGGGTCCGGAATTTTGGATTTCGGGGGGGTCCGGAGGGGAGCCAACGAGGCCAAGGAATCTTCCGGGGGGAGGGTCCTATGGTAGGTGGGGTCGGACGGGTTCCCTCAAAATAGCGGGGATTTTGGGGTCCCCCCCGCCCCCGGCCCGTGTTGGGCTGTTCCAAACAGTGCAACAAGATTTTGTTGCATCTTTGTAAGACTATTGAACCCCCCCTCCTTCGTTTGCCCAAAAGAAGACCGTACAGTAGATACCTATTTGGACTAAAAAAGGCAGGGGGGGTGAAAACTATCCCCAACTCTCAAGAAGATCCCCTGAACGGCCAACCTCAGGTGAGAGGCCAATCAACTTGGGCCAACGTTCCGAGAATTCACGGAAACCGGCAGGAGACAAATTCCGGGCCCCGGCACTCCATGACTTGATTCAAGAAGCCTACCAAAAAACTGCGAGGTTCAAGATTTCGCGGGGGCTTGTGGAGAAACAATCATTTCCATGAAGCTAAACGGTCAAGCAAAAGTGCAACGAATTCGTTGCATGTTTGAGGGAAGCTGCTGTTGGCACGTTGGCGAACAAATCGCGTCTTGCAATAACCCACTAAAATTCACAACACCACGAACACCCAAACCCAAGAAGCAGTGAAGAAGTCTGGAACATGAAACTTAAACCCCCGCCCCAGCTGGAACAAATACCACCCCACAGTCCACACAATTTATAAGGTTAGAAGTTCTTAGAAGGAAGCCTAGTTTGAAGCCACCAAAACAAACGTCTGACGCAGGCAAGAGCGGCCATATGGCTCTCATAGGGAAACCCGCAACATGGGGCATTTCCTGTTTCTTTCCCCGGAAAGCAACCCCAAGCAAAACTTCCTTAGACTAGAAGACCTATATCAAGTGGTGAGAGGCATGGGTGAGCTCGCTTTACCCCGTCGGTGTGCCTCCCCAAAAGGCTGAGAGTGCTCCCACTCAGCCCGGCGCATGCATTGGAGGCGGCGAGGCGGATGCACACGCCTGCCCGCTGAGGTCCGCTTAAGTCTTTTCAGGGTGGCGGTCCTTTGGATGGGGTTGATGTTGAGAAGAGAATATAGGTAGGCCTATAAAAAGGATGGGCCTGAGGTGGTTCAACTGGCTTGTGCACTGGGTTAACCATGCAAACCGCCATCCAAGAAAAGCGGGGCCGGATACGAGGCACATCAAGCTCTCTTCAATTAGCCTGTCCAAAAAGGTGATCTTTGACGTCTCCTTGTAAGGGACCTTGATCTTACCCGAGTGTAGTGGCCAGAAGCAAAGTAACTCCATGTCTGATACGCTTGGCAAACAAGTTTGAGGTTTGCAAACTCGCACAGGCAAGACACAGGCACAGGGGCTTGCGCTTCTTTTTTGGGCGGCTGTTCTTAAGGAAGGCCCATCCAAGAAAACCAGAAACCAGGGGGTGAAGTTAGGCTTCATTCTTGTGAAACCCCCCATCATATCCTCCGACACCCGCCCTGTTTTTGGTTGGGGGCGGGGGTCCTGAAATCATCCGCAGGAGTGCTGCCCATCGATTCAGACTTCCTGACATCTCACCCAAATCAATCGTCGTCAGGGCTCCCGTTTGATCCAATCATGGAAGTCTGGTTCCTGCAACAGGAACGCCACAGGAAACTAGCACCAATGTTCTTGTGCATTGGTCGCGTTTTGTTCAGACCAAGCCTGCTCTTGTCAAACGGCGCTGCAAGTGTTCTACAGTTTAGCACATGACGGGCTCCAAATGTTTGCGCCTTGGTTTGGACTTGAAGATCTCGGCCGCTGTGCGGTTATGTGACTTGCTCGCTGATGTGTGAGCACGTGAAGTCGGGAGGGAGCAATCAACAGAATCTTTGAGCAAAATCAGAACCAGCTCCTTCCGTTCCTCTGAGCACATTGCTTCAATGCCCCGTACTTGCGTGAGGTTGCGAGAGTTGCTTAGATGCATATATGCACATGCTTCTGGAAAGTGGCCTTATGTGGCCTTTGCGTGCTACCAAATCCCCATGGGTACCACTTTGCGGGGATTCCCTTAATATCAAACAAATGGACCCTAAAACCCTGTGGTGTCAAGATTATCAGATTAAGGCTATGGACTGTTACAATTCGTGGGGCCACTCTACACCATTCTACACCCCAAAGCCACACCTCAGGGACACCCGGGCATCCATGGGCGCAAGTTCGCGCAAGTTCTATCCGGAACCTGTCCCAAGGATTGGCTCGGACCCCGCAACTGCTGCTTTGGGGAATTCTTGGACATCTGTCGCTAGTCGAGCCCCGCCTGCAAGGCCAAGTTTCAGGATGCGCACCATGCCATCGCGACACCAGCTGCTTCGCGCACGACGAAAAACACCAAAAACGCCAGGGCTCACGGCGTCCGGTTTCGGTCGGAGTTTTATTCATCGTGGCCTGCGTGTTCACGTGATCGCTTGCATCACGAGCTGACCTGCTGCGAATCACAACTCTGGCACTTGGAACTTGTAAGCACATGGAGCTATGCTAAAAGCTACAGTCACGCAAAGCAGAGGAGCATGCGCGCAAACACAGGCAAGTTTGTGTCACCCAAAAGGAAGCCTTGCACGCTGTGTAGGTTGCCAAAGCCAACCCGCCAAAAAGAGAACAGCTCACCGCTACTAGCCGCAGCTCAAACCCCTCAAAGACGCAAATCAGAGCCCCGCACCAAATAACGCGCTTCCCCAAAAGGACTTGGGGAAACGGAGTGGGTCCCCCGGTTTCTGCGAGTTTATCTCCCCACGTCAGGTTTCCTGTGGACCCCTGAACTGTCTGCTTTTCCGCACGGCTTCTCAGCTTGCCGAAATCTCACGGCCACCCGAGTCGCAACTTGGTTGACTCTTCGGGTGCACGGCTCTTCCAGAAAAAGTTACGGTGGCTCCAAACACACGGTACAGGGCAGATACCCGTATGAATGTATTGGTATATATGTGCGTGTATGGGGCTACCCACTCAATTTCCTACCTGGGCACCAGAAACCATAAGTCATCATTCCAGGGGTGCAACAAGAACGATGCCTGGGCCCCCCATCACTCTTGTGCTTCTACTGTTCCAGAACCCGATTCCGCTCCAACGAGCGGTTCCGCTAGCAGACTGCAGCCGCTTCCAGAATTGGAGGAAAATTATTCCGCTGCTCTCCGCGCAATTCGTCTCACTTGCCCAAACAACTTTAACAACCATGACTGGCACTGAGAGATAAACCCTCCCGCCAACGGAGGGTAAAACCAACGCAAAACTGAGTGGAAACAGGAAGGAGCAACTGTGGGCAACTGAGCCTCAGATGTGCAATCTCCCACTGGACGCCTAAGCTTGCCAAAGCGCGCCTAGGGTGTGATGGCACCAACTGATTCTCAACGATTCTTAAGAAAACAGATCAGGGCATTTCTCCCAATCCTTCCCCGGGTTGGGCTTTCTTGCGCTGCTGTTTTATCACCTTTGGAGTGCACTGTCCACAACAGGCACAAGAAAACCCTTGCAAGAAAGACTACCTACCGACTGTTATCTTCTGACCTGACATCTCAGATCGGCAATACCCCGGGACTCACCAAAAAACAGTTGAGTGGTAGGGGATGCCCGGCGCAAGAGGTTGATTGTGTACAAAAAAAACTGCCCTAGGAGCTAGAATCCCCAAGGATGGGAAGATACCAAAAGAATAATTAGGCATGGCACATCCAAGCCACAACGTACGGCCTAAAGGACGGCGCCCCAAAATGTTCCTTTCCCAATCATTCGGCGGCAGTGGAGTCCAAGCTGAGACCTGCCTGAAAACTGTCTACTCCCAAACCAAGCTGAGAACACCTGGTGGGCGAGTGTGTTGGGAGGATACCCTTTCGGGGTCTTACAAGCACCAGCATAAACCCGAGATTGCAAGAAATCAAAAAGTAAGCATTTTCAAGATTAAAAGGCAAACACACACACACACACAATGCGGCGAAACATTCCGAATCTCTCAACAGATGCTGTGAAGACACATGTGTATAGGCTCGGATCGTATGTGTGTTCGCTCGAAACATACATGTATGTGCGTTTGGAAAAAAAACATGGGCATACGCACACTTGTGTATACACTGAACACGCATGTCACCGGACAAACAGAGGCGCAAATCAGGTCCGTACTCTTGAAATACGCAGCTCGCTCGGAACACACAGTGTCAAAGCTGACCAGCATCACCCCCCACAATGAACCCTGCGCATCAAGCCAATTCGCAGCACCCTGCAAACGCTTGTTTCTTGTCTCAACAGCCCTGTTCTTAGAACCCCTAATTACATCTTTCATCTATCTGGGAAGTATGAAATCCTGAGGCCCACGCCAATCAAGCTCCAGATGCAGCCAGCCAAACGATCATGGACACAAGGAGGCCTGCGTGCGAAGTAACTTCGAACGTGCAAATCGAGATGGACAGTCGGGCCCAAACGCCCTAAGGTAAAACCAAAGGCAACCGCCTGACTTTTCCCTTGAGCGTAAGGCTCACATCCCTGGCCCTTGCGGGTGAGTTGGTGACCCACTTCCACGTGATTTAGTCTAAAGAAGAAACCGGCCCGGAAATGGAATGCGAGGGCTGAAACACAAGCCACCCGAACTCCGACTTTGAATGCCATCTGTCAAGTGGGTGACTGTCCATTCTGAATGCAGACTCTTCGCATGAGGGGATGGCCCAACCGGTGGATCCAATCCTGCAAGGTCCAACCCAAACTCTGACCGGTGACCAATTGGCCCAAAAGGGAAACTACCAGGAGCTCGTTATCTGCGCTGATTGAAATGGGAGGGTCAGGAATCCCAATCACTTTCTCCGCAACTATTGGAAAACCGCATTCCAAAGAAGGTCTTCATTTTTCGTTGTGTAGCCTTCAGGCAGGATCCAACGTGCAGCGCCAACACGAACATCCCAGAATAAGTCTAAAGCGAAAGAGCCGTGCGAGCAAATCAAAGGCGTTTGCTCCGGACATCCGACTTTTCTTGCGCCAGGACAACAGTCCAATAACCAAGCTTCAATCACTCGAATCGGTTCTGATTCTGTGGAATAAAGGCTGAGTGCATGAACCCAAACATCAACACCTGGTCTCATTCCCTCAACTTTTGGGCAACCTCGGTACCCGAACCTTCGATTGTGGTAGGATATGGAGGTTTCACCACGCAATCGGCCTTGGGCTAAACGAATCGGCCCAACTGGTGCGACTGATGGTGTTAAGGGAGCGAGTGCCACGGCTTCCTGCAAATTGCCTGTGACCTTGTGCACCCGAGGGTTGAACACCCCACCCACATTCTCTATATATATATCCCCTGGGTGGGGTGGCCTGAGGGTACCCTAGGTCTGGGGGTGTGTTATATATACTACGCGCGCGCATAGGCCGCAGACAAAGGCCTTTTTGGCCTGGGGGTCTGGGCCCCGAACCCCCCCTGAGATCCCCTGGGTGGGGTGGCCTGAGGGTACGCATACTCACCACTGCTGCATCCGTGCTGTGTACCTACGCTGTGTACCTACGCCTGCTGTGTGGTATGCTGATGCACGCACTGTGCACTCGTAGCTACACGCACTGCTGACGGATGCACGAGTACTCACAGCTACACCTACTACATGAGGAGGAATGCTACCACTGATGATAAACCTTCGGCAACAGTTTTTCTTAATCCAACCATTGTTTTCCTGGTGTTTGGAACCCCAAGAGGACACCACTTGCAGCCACGGTGCAGAAAAGGTAGGCCCATCCTTGCAATCGGAAGCTCGGTGAAATGGCCCCAGTTCCGTGTGTCCAAAGAGACATGTACTAATCAAAAGGGGCCCCAAAGTCCGGGCAGTTTCTCAAAGCATCAATCCTACTCCATGCCTCGGAAACCACGGCAAAGGAGGGCCTATTTGCTTTTGGAACGCAGGCTCTTGAAAGATTGCCAAAATGAGGCACGCAAGGTATCCCTACCAGCATGTTTGACCCAGATGCGCCCGTGGTTCATCCACAAGGGGTGTACGGGGGATCCGGATCACATTTACCCCTTGTCAACTTGCCAACAGAACGCGGAGTCAACAGTCGAAGCCATCTTCATGGACCTAGGGCCTCTAACCGTGAAACCCACACACAGAGTCCTGGATTCAATGCTTCTCCCCGTTGCGGGGAAGGATTCCCCCAAGAGTTGCATACTTAGGGAAAACATCATAGGGCCGGGCGTTGGACGTTTTTGGGCAATGAAACCCTCGGGCTTTGGTTCCCCATTCTTGGTGCATTTGCTTGAAGTAAGAGCAAACTCGGGGGGGATAAACCCGAAAAAAAAAAAGCCTTGATGTCGCCGATCTTGGGGCTGTGCTCTTTGCTGGTTTCTTTGCTTCTGTCTTCTTTAGGCAAACCCCTTTTGCCATAAAAGGAACCCACCCAAGTTGGAGAAACACCCATCTCCACATGTTTGTGATTATGGGTCCGGACCAACAGATTGACATCCTGTGGGGACTCATGCAACCACCAACCACTTTTGAGGTCCCAACAAGAAACATCAGATCCACTTTGGGTACAAACCTTCCTTGGCCAGGACCTTTCTCGCGACTTTTTTTAAGCACATCCCATTCGCTGAGCCCTGGCCGGCGGTTTAGGCCAAGGCACTGAACACGATGTCCACCTGCATGGAGGGAGGCCGCTCCCAGAAGGAGATGTTCATGGCCCTCAGTGAGCAGTTGGTCCGGCTGGGCGTTTGGTTTTGATGCCCTGTCCGGAGTGGACCGAAGGGAAAGGCCGGAAGCTCGTTACTTGAGGTCTTGATACCCTTTTTTGGAGTGGCTCAAAGGGAACAAAGGCCAAAAGCTCGCTGCTCTTGTGTCTTCTTCCACCTCGTGGGGTGAAAATGAGAGAGAAGAGAAACAGAACGAGAAAGAGAAAGATAAAGTCAGGAAGGGAAGCAGAAAGAGAAAGAAACAAGACGCGAAAGGTAAAGAGACAGGAGAGGGACAAAGAGCAAGAGGTAAGAGAAAGAGAAAGAGCAAAGAAAAAAGAGACAAGAGAAAAGAGACCAGAGAGAAGAGAATGAGAAGACAATATACTGAATATACTGAAAGCGGAAAGCAAATAACTTGTAAAAAGGAAAACATCAGGAGAAAGACAAAGATACAAACTGTGAAACTTAACCTAGAAAACATGGGAAATACATAACCGAGAAAGATCAGGATAAAGATAAACATAAGGGCAACCTGAAGAAGAACAAAACATAACACCACCAACAAGATGAGGCTAGCAAATGAACACACATGATATATAATTATGCTATTATATATATATATATTAATTTAGAAGAGAGGAGAGGAGAGAGAGAGAGAGAGAGAGAGAGAGAGAGAGAGAAAAAAAACAAAAGGCTGGGATCCACCCGAAAACAAACTAATCCTTGGATGTGGGTCTTTGGTGTATGCCAGTAGGGAAAATAGAAACAAGCTTAGCCCTAGGGACCAAGAGGAACCCCTGGGTCAAAAGCCCGAGCCCAGGTCATTGGAAAAGTCCACTACGTTCCCTTTGTTTCCATTTGACTTCTGTCAAGAGACGGCAAGGTGACGTCCCGTGGGACGCTGTCCACCGAACCCTCCAGCTGTAAATACCAACCACGTAGAAAGGTGTATACGGTCAAACCGTTATAGCCGAACCCGTGTAACTGTTGTAAGGGAGAAGAAATAATAGTTACAACAGTGGTCCTGACAAATGCAGCACAAGCGAAGTGTTTTCCGCTCTCAATTGCCGATCACGTATTAACGCAGCTTCACATAAGATCTTGAACCTCACTTGTGACTTGAGCCAAATGGCAATCAATGGAACCTTGTAAGCAACACAAACACGGACCTCAGAACTGCTTCCCAATTTAGGCACGGGGCCAGAAGGGTTTTAACATCCCCCATTTGGGTCGCATTGTTCATCATGCGGTCCAAACGCCACAAAACGTTCCAATGGCCAAGGCTTCAGCTACGAAATTGTATCGAGCACTCTCTCACTCGCTATCGCTACACCGTTCATTCATTGTGAAACCTGCCGGGTTCGATTGAAACTGGAACGTGCATCCGCAAATCGTAGCACATTCCCATATACAGATGCAAGGTATGCACTACCTCACGTCATCACGCAACCATTGAACATCCCAGCTGCCGCATTTGCGCATCGCGCAGCCGTCATCCACAGAAATGGGTTGGCCATAGAAGTTCACAGCAGCGCATGATCGTAAGTAATCTGCATATCACCGGCAAAGAAATATCGGTGAGCAATCAATGCAAAACATAGCCATTCCAGGTACCATGAATAATATATATATATATAATGAAAAGGAAATCATCCATGAGGTAATAGTTCCATCCATGAATATCCGGAATGTCATAGCCGTCGGAACATGTAAATGTATACACATCCATTCATCTTGGACGCATGAAATCATATCATGATGTAGAGTCGTTCCATCGCAATGACATTGATGAGACGCAAGCAATAGATGGGGACTAGCCCACATCATGCCGCAATCAACATCGGAGTGAATATATGTATTGCTGTTGGTGGGCGCGCCGCACCGCATAAGCAATAACAATCCACATCTGCATTACGCATACCTGTCCCCAATGGACAGTCTGTGGGTACGTCGACGGAACTCTTCGTCCAAATTCTTTTGGGCTTCTCGCGCCCGGACACACTTCTTGTGATGATCTTCTGGTATCCAATGCCCCATTCGGAGGCACCAATCCAGCAGAGGTGTGTCGCATTTGTTCGGGTCAGTGGCTGCAAAAAATTGGCGCTCACATTGACCGAATAACCATGTCTGCCAAGGTTCAAGCCTTCCCTTACGAACGATAGATATTTACAGTTGAAAGCCAGGGAGAAGCATCTGTAAACAATATCACCCACCGGGTGCACGCGATCCTTGACCAGGAGCTTCATTTCGTCTTTGGTGATGTCGAGGATTTTCGCTGCAATCCACAGCTTGTAAAATATGTATAGCCCCTCGCATTTGTACACCATTAGACGAATGTATTCATTACGCTCCTCAGCCGACCGGAAGGTCCTTGTCTGAACGTTCTGAGATTGGCTAATCTTCACTATTGTTGACGGCAACAGGATCCCTTCCTGATCGTGCTCAGTCATGTTGGGGTACTTCTTGAAGTCGTTGTGGTATGGGCAGCCTTGCTTCCCTTCGAGCGCGGCATCAATCGTTCTCTTTTCACCACCTTCGAACATCCCCCACATCCAAGAGAGGCTAAAAGACTCTAATTTTCGCCTTCGCAAAAGAGTCTCTAATGTATATCGGGCTGTTTTGAAGGTTCTCATGATTGCTGGTTTCGTGATACTTGCGACCGCGGGCGGGCCCCATTTGCATCGCGATGCGCCATAGAAAAGCAGTTCAGGGCAGCTTTGCCCTGGGCATGCGCCGGCTTCAACGTGTGATTACATGGCTCAAGTCGCATTGGGTAAAAAGTTCGTGGCAGCTCCAGACACATCCAGTTTAGTTGGCTAATTTGCTGTGTCTGCAGAGTGTACGGCTGCTCAAACAGTCAATGTGAGTTCACCGTTAGCGTGTGCAATCTGCCAAGAGGGAGATGCCGAGGGGTTCCCCTATGTGTGCCAAGGGTTTGGGAACACATAATTGACCGTGCTCACTTGCGCAGCGAGCCCAGCGGGGGAACTCACCGGGCCCAAAACGAGAAGGGGAAACCCTAAGTGTTCGAATTGTATTTTGTCGCGCCGTGCCCAAGAAAACGTCTGTCCGTGTCACAGGGCCATTGCAGGAAAAGACTTTCAGAACGGATCTACAAAGCTTTGTTTGATGCATCTTTTGTCTGCGCTTGTGGGACGCACAATGTAGGGAACAGTATTGACAACCCTGGACATTCAGTTGGGTGGCGGTTCGTCTCTTGACCTTGAATAAGTGCGTTTCAATTCATGTCGGCGCCGTCGCGCTTGCGGGATTCCACGTCCACTTGTGCTTTTGCATGGCCGCATTTCACGAAATCCCGGTTCGCAGCCATTTGGTGATCCCATGGCCAAAAGAAATCCTGACAGAACTCCACGCAGTCTGACAATTCAGACCTGCAAGGGCCTGCGCGAATGTCCTGGACACGCACGACCAATTTTAAGGGGCTTGCGCGCCAGAGTTCCGCGTTCCGGAACGATGTTCTTGGCAAGATTACTTGCAGTCAATGGAGCCATGTGTCTTCACTAAAACCCGGAAATGAAGCCAAACATAAAGAAAGCCGGGGTGCTCCTGGAAATCAATTTCCACTTCTTCGGGACGCCCGCAAGCACACCCTTAGTCATCAGTGGCTTGCAGCGCTCGTCCCAGTCGCGCGGCAAGTTCACGCGGCTCCTGTGCCTCAAGCTCTCAAGTTTCAGAACCCATCTCTGGGATCGTGGTTGGCCGATTTTGGGCGTGAACTTCTGAAATTTCAGGACTGGCGACCCCCGATTCTGTTTTTTTTCGGCTTTTCGTGTTTTTTTCTTGGGGGGTGGGGGCTCGTGAACTTGCGTGAACTTGCGTGAAAAAGACTCTAAACTACGGTGTTTTGGCGTGAACTTGCGTGAACTTTCGTGAACCTTGGAATTCGCATTTCGATTGTTTAAAAAACCTTTTTGCGGCCAGCTGTGGGGTTTTCGCGGCCTATTCGCGGAATTTCGCGGCCATTTCTGCTCGTGCCCATGGCTTCACGGCCGTTTCGCGGCCATTTGCTAAAAACGGCGCACGACCCCGCACAAGACATTCGTGCGCATGTCCAAGTTAACTCTTTAAAGCCTTCCACTCCTACTCGAATTCGTGCACATGCTTCAACGCGACTAAGACCTGTCCATGCATCCGTGAGGGGTTTGGAGTTGAAACTTCGTGAATTAAACTTGTCCAGCGTGCGAACCCTTGAAAACCTCAACTGGCCGTGAAACCCATTTCTAGAGATGAATGATTGCCCAATCATGAGGAAATGAATAACCGGGAATTGCGTAGCAATCCCTGCGCCTTCTCGCAGAGTGAGAGTGGAAGACTTTTTAGAAAAAGCGCAGACGGCCTGAGCGTGTTCCAAGAAAACGGTGCGAGAGTTGATGGCTTTTGGCTTTAGCGACAAAAATCAAAGAACATAAGCCTTTACGAGTACCTTGATGAAAGTTGGAAAAGAGGAAACGCATTGAGGACAATGGCTGGGAAAAATACAAAAAACATCGAAAGGGTCCATGGCGCCGAAGTGCCCCCCAAAGGTTGTGCCACTTTCGGGCCCTTACAAGCTAAAGGCAAATGAGACGGGCGAGTCGCTTTAGAAATGTCCGCGCGCCATTCTTTCTCAGGATTGTGTCGATTGACCCCAAGGCTTGCTTTTTGCGCAGACACAAGCTATCAGGGCAGGCGTGCGAGCTAACCTCCCTCAACTTCTCCCCCCTTGCCTTCCGCCTGTTCTCGTTTTGTTGGCTGCCAAGGTTGCAGTTTAAAGGTATACTTGCGTTGCTCGCTCACAGCCTTGCACTCATGCAACTGAACTCGGCGCGCCCTATACGACACTGGGTTCTCTACAAGGATAGATCCAGCTTGACAAGCGTTTGGCCTTGGAAATTGCATGACGTCATCTTGCGTCGGCGCAGCCGATTGCGGCTTAAATTGTCATTGCGCCGCGCCTCGGCTGCTACCATTGGAACCAGCTGGCCCATCCATTGCGGCCAGTCGCCGAAT